CTTTTTTTCATTGAGTTCTGGGTCTTGTACCTGGTCTTGAAGAAGAAATCTGCGCCAGGGCTTCTGGAGTGGCAGACGAGACAGAAATGAAATCGATGGCTGTAAAGCTACTACTAGTAGCTGCGTTTCCCGGCAGCTTCATACGCCAGTAAGTTCGGGATAAATATCACTGGCACGTTGGTTGTCAGCCCACAGGTACTGTACTGTACGTATACTGGTACTCAGCCCGGGTCCCAAAGGAGCAACTCACGTTCGTCGCTGGAGCGGCATCTCCCTCCGGATCCTCTCTAGCTCATCAAGGTCAATGTCTGCGAAGCCAATCTCCTCGACGGCCCCATCTTCCGCGTTGCCATCGGCGTCTGATACACCCTTGAGGCAGACCAGGACCTTGCCCCATGGATCGACAACCATGCTGCGGCCATAGCTAGCCCGCTTCTCGTTGTGGCGGCCAACCTGAGCCGCCGCCACAATGTAGCTCTGCGTCTCAATGGCGCGAGCGCGGAGCAACGTCTCCCAGTGCGCCTCTCCCGTCCGCAGCGTGAATGCGCTGGGATAGGTGATGATCTGAGCCGGACGGGTGGCCCAGGGTCTGCCACTGCCTGGCTGGGCGAGGGCGAGGGCTGTTTCTGGGAACCGCAAGTCGAAGCAGATGAGACTGCCTATCCTGCCGATGGGGGAGTCAAACGGCGGCGTGAATCTAGAGCCCGGCTGGACGGTTGCGCTCTCCCGGAGGGTCCCGTAATCAAAGACATGCAGCTTGTCGTACGTGGCCGCGTCTTCAATGCTACCGTCGGAGTTGATATACAAGGCCCGGTTCAGTATCTTTTGAGCTGGCTGACCGGCCTCTTGGCCCACTACGGTGTCGTGGATGCCGACATGGACGGCAATGGAGTGGGCCTTGGCAGCGGCGCGGAGACCTTGGACGAACGGAGACGACGCTTGTGGAACGGCCAAGTCTAGCGAAGCTCGGGCATTGACAGCAATGTAATCGGATGCTTCTGGGAGGAAGAGAACCTGATGGCATTTGACCGTCAGCTGCTTTCGCTCAACGTACAAGGGGTGAGAGGCAAGGCAGCTAGGGGATGGGCGGCCGGGTCGGGTGAAGAGAGGTCATCTGCGAGGGAATGAACATGACGCGACGATGAAAGTTTATCAGTCTGTGAGACACGGCTCAGGCCAGCAGCAATCTCCCAGGGCTGAAAGGTCTATGGGCTGTGTGATTGTGATGAAGACGTGCTGAGACAGCTGTGCCTTCTCACTTGAGACGACAAGCTCCATAAGAGGGTGCATTCCTCGCTTCCCAGAGACAACCCATTATAGGCCATCTTGCGATCGCAAACAGAGTCTCATAAGGCGTCTCATCTCACGGTAGAAGGTGAAATTTGCTGTAAACAAAGGGAGCACCAGTAGTCTAGGTAGCTCCTGTAGGGGCAGGGAGACGGAGAAGAGGGCATACTTGAGCTCCACCAAGTGCCGCCTTGGCAACCAGTCTCACACACTGGTTTAGATTTGCCGTGATTGAGCCAGTGGAGCAAATCTGGCCGATTGCCTGAGTGTGAAAAAGAGAGAGTGTTAGCACAAGTTGTGGTGATGGTGATGGTGATGGTAGAACAAGGTGGTTTTTGGGTGTAAGACGCATTGAACCTACTGCAATGGCCATGACTGATGGCTTAGTACTAGCTACACCGGGTACAAGCAAAAAGATCAGGCTGTTGTACTCGAGTACTAGAGGCGAGTTGTCGCTTTGCTGGCTGATTTGGCAATGTTGAAACCACCTCGAAACGTTGCAAGTATTCACTCAACAGGACTCACTCATGCTTGTGCAGATGCGAAACCTCATTGGCGCGATCCCGCCGCAGCATTGCATAATCGAGGCATTTGTGTTTCCAATGGTATGGACCACTCACTACTACGCAATTACTAACCGCTAACAAAACACCGGGTCAATGCGATTGATCCATTAACAAATTGAGCGTTTCATCTACTAAATAAGAGAAGAACTGGATAATGATTGAATTATTTACATAGCCATTTCTTTTGATGCTTCTTCTTCTTCTTCTTCTTCTTCTTCTTCTTCTTCTTCTTCAAATACCCCGGTCAGTGCATACAAATCACTGTACTGTGTCATGCATGGCAGGATTCCGTCTCCGCCACTGATACGCGGCCTGATGGACAGATAGCAAAAGCTTATGTCTCTCCGCTTGCATCAGCATTTTGCCTTTTGTGCAACCCAACTGCGGAGCTTCTGACAGGACTGCGCAACTTTGCTGTCCAGCAGGACCATGTGAGATTGAGAGCTGCTGGGAGTCTCTTTTTCGTGATTCTTCTTGTCCTTGGACGCCAATCGCTTCACTTCACCCCACGTCATACAGAGAGCTATTCATCTAGACTCAGATCTGACAGACTGCCACAGACTGCCACCATGCCATCTCTCCAGCGCTTGTTGCTTCACCTTGTCTTCCTTCTGGCCACTGTTTCAGCCGCGCCATCGCAGTACTGTCTCTTTGGCCTTCCGCGCGATGAAATCGACTTCTGCATGGCCGTGTCGCTCTATCACAACCACTCGACATCAGCTCACGATGTCTATCTCTCACTGGCCGTGAGACGATCTGCCACCCAGTCCAATGGCACCTCTCTCGGGTGGACCGCTATCGGTACAGGCCCCAAGATGGCCGGATCTCTCATGTTCGTCCTCTATGGCGATCCCGAGGCGTCCGAGGCCAAGCCGACGCTGAGCGTGCGAACCGTCAAGGCCGGCCACTCTCGACCAGCGCAGGTTACCCAGCAAGACACTGGAAAACAGCTCGACGTTCGCATCTTGGAGACGACCTGGAAAAAGGCCGAGGACGGCCTGTACGTGGCCACTGCGTCTATTGTCTGCTACGCCTGCTCTGAGTGGATGGGAACGGAAATCTCGCCCGAGTCGGTCTCGCAGCCGTGGATCTGGGCGTGGAACAAGCAGCAGGACATGAAGGCTTTTGCGCCCGACCAGCAGCTCGAGGCGCACTCTATGGTGGATGGCTATGGTTACTTTTATGTGGACATGAAGGCGGCTACCTCGCACCACTCTGATGGCTTCCCGACTTTTAACGTGACCGGCGAGGATTCCAATATTGGCACCTCTGATCGGCCCATTAAGGAGGCGAAAACGGGGCTGTGGCAGAAGCTCCTGTCTCGGCCTCTCGCCCATCTTCATGGCTTCTTCATGATGACTGCCTTTCTGCTGCTGTTTCCTGTCGGTGCCGTGGCAATTCGCTCCGGTTCCGAAAAGTCATTCAAATACCACTGGGTCATCCAGGCTTCGGCCATGGTGTCTGCCCTCTGCGGCGCCATCGTGGCCATTGTTATGAGCGACAAGGTGTTTGGTTCCCCTCACCAAATCGCCGGTGTCGTCATTGTCTCACTCCTACTCGTACAAGCCGTGCTCGGCTGGCGACACCACGTCGACTTCATTCGCATCTTCCGCCGCACCTGGATCTCTTACGCTCACATCTCCCTCGGCTTCGTGATCCTGGTGAGCGGCTGGGCCAACGTCATCGGCGGCCTGGTGCTGTACGGCTTCAGTAAATTCGGCATCGCCATGCTTGCCCTCTTCATCCTTCTGGAGGCCGCGGGCGTGGGTGCCTGGTCGTTCTTGGCCAGACGCCGCTCCATGTCAAGGGGCACGATTCATAAGGAGACGCCCGAGTCTTCGGCGGCGTATTTCGCCTTGGAGGATATTCCTGAGAGCGATGAGGAGGATGACGCGGCGGAGGAGAGGGGGCTTATGCAGAAGCGGAATGATTAAATGAGTAAAATGTCGAAAAGAAAAAAAAAAAAAACAATAATGATGGATTTGACGGTAAATTTGGAGTTGAGGTGATTTCTATTTAGCTGAATTAAATATGTATAACCCATAATAATCCAGGCGTCGTCTTGTTTCGTTTAAAGCCATCTTAGAATTCACACACGAGAACTTGGGAGTCCAAAGTCATCCCTCCGCTCATACATATATCTGCATAGGTACTGTTCATTTCAATTCCGTGTGTACATCCAACTTCCGCAGGTCTTATTACGCTTCACCTCACCTCATCTCATCTCATTTCATCCACACATGCAAGCACACAGAAACCGAGTTACACATCTCAAAGCACAACTCTCTTTCATACTCCGTCTATTTGTCCTCACGCTGCCACTGTCAACTTTAAACTGATGCGCATTCCACCATCTGTGAACCATCATTTTTTGCGTTCACGTATAATTCCCTTCTCGGAGAGAACCCCCCGACATAAAGAGAAAAGAAAACCCTCTTGTAGAAAAAAAAAAAAAAACCAACCTTTTAAAGCTCGTGCAAAAAAAAAAAATTACGTGAAAAGGATTTAGAAAACAGAGACCAATAAAAGAGGATAGCTTCCTAGCTGTTTCATAAAAAACTCTTTCGAATAGAGAAAAGCTGAGCCTAGCTTTTCCTCCCCATCATCCAGCTCTCTTGTATGGCAAATCGAAATCGAATACGAATCAACGATTTACCAGCATTGCTTGAAAAAAACAAAAACAATGGGGAGAGAAGACACCGCAAAGAAGAATAATAGAGCACACCGGAATTCAGCGGTATGCCATTTCATCTCTTGTATTTCTCTCCCTAAACCTTCCCCCCCCCCCTGTAGAATTTTCCCTCCTATCTTTGGTGCCTATAACATAAAACGCCCTGCTGAACCGAAAACCTTGCTCAGGGAAAAACAGAAATGAGGAGAGAAAGAAAGAAGCAGGAAAAAAAAAGAAAAAAAAAGAAAAAGAAAGAGGAGGCAGAAAGAGTCTGCACACATAGCGCATGGTATCTCAACTATGACTGAGCCCGCCCATTGGTTCTGATATCCCTTCCATCCCCCCAAAGGTCCCCGCCATTCATCATTAATTATTTAGGGTTCGAATTGTCCAAGTTTATATAAGCGTGTTGCAGCGCCTTGGCCTCCCGGCCGTCTCTCTCCAGCACGGTGATCCAGTCACGAAGCTGAATGTTCTTCCCCTTTTCTTTGTCTTCCCGCCACGTGCCCAGTCTATTTCGTCCTTCAGTCGTCAATGCCATGTTGCCGGGGGATGGAGCTCCGGGAACGCCGTTCGGGCCTTTGCCTGGTCCTGGGGCTGCCCGTGTCGGGGTACTAGCACCGCTTCCTCCTCGGCCAACATTCATCCAGTCATACGTCTTGCCCGACTTCTTCTTGCCAAAGAGGCTTCCCTTGCCTCCCAAGCCCGCAAACATGCTACTGGTGATGTTCTGGTTCGCATGACTGCTAGCCTCAGCCGCCTTCATGGCTTGTGTCTTCTTCAACTCCTTCTTCGTCATTGCCTTTTCTGACTCTGGAGCTACCGATCCGGGTGTGCCGGGTGCGACGCTCCCTGCTCGTGAGGCTGAAGCGGCTGAGTCGCCCAAGCCTTCTTTGCGCATCTGCCGTCTTCGTAAACGAGCCTCTTCCCATTCACGCTCTTGCCTGGCCAAATCTCTCATTGTCAATGTGGCGTAAGAGGCGATCTTAGGCAACTTCGCCGGTGGTTGTTTGACAGCCGTATCATTTGTGTCGGCAGGACCTGTGAGGTGTGAGCGGATGATTCATGCAAAGCAAACATTCAAATCAACATCAAGCTTACGCTTCAACGGACTGGTACCCTGCCCGGCTTCAGTACCAGCGCCGGTTCCAGCTACAGCTCCGTTCGCATCGCCGTCCTTTTCCACAATGGGTTCTAATGGCTCTGCATTCATTGGAGCAGCAGCGGCTGCCCACTCCGGAGGTATATCTCCATGAGACGTCTTTTGCCGTGTTCTCGCCACCACATTTGCGTCCTCAACCAACTCACGTACTCTCTGCTTCGTTGCTATCGACATCAGCGCAAGCTGATCTACCAGAAAGGCGTCATGCGGAATAAAGGACCCGCTGGTCTCCACCAAGGTGCCATCCGGACCTGTACTTGTCTTGACTGTTACTTTGGGTGCTGCAAAGTTCTCAGGCAACTTCATCTTTCCCATGGATGGAACGTTGTTCTTGAGCTCTAGATTAAGACCAAGATGATGCTCGCGAGCAATTTTCTCTGCTCGGCGATGCAGCAATGCGACAAGAAGAAAGGGATCGTTGATCTCCTGGGTTCTCTGCACAGCAAGTCGCATTGTTGATTCTTGCCACGCCTGCTCAGCTGCCTGAGCAGTATACTGCTTCTGTGCCAAGTCGGTAGGCTGGGCAGGCTGGTTAGCGGGGCCGGCACCGTAGAAGCTGGACTTGGAACCCGGTGCATAGTGGGCGAATCCTGTTCTGGCTTCAGGCATTCCCTCGAGAGCATTTGAATAGAGGTCTGCCATGTACTGCTCTTCTGCGCGAAGGTCGATTCCCGTACCAGCCAATGAATCCGTCACGTCATACTCGTAGTCTTTCGTTGGTCTCTCTGCTGGCTTCTGGGGAGGCCCCATGATCCCGGGTGTCTGTAGTAGTGGAGCTGCTTGTTGCTGCATTTGCTGCATTTGCTGAATCGGTTGCATGGGTTGCATCGGCTGCATCGTTGCATTTGTATACTGCTGGGGCATTGGTATGGGAGACGGCAAAGGCACTGGTGTCTGCACATGCCCTGGTGTCTGTACCTGTCCTGGGGTATGTACCTGTCCTGGCGTAGGCACCTGCATTGGTGTTGGCATTGGAATTTGCATCGGCATCTGTCCTTGCGCTGGCGCTTGCTGAGGAGTGTGCATGACGGGCGTGGAGACTGATGGCGAGGCGGTTGGAAGACTCAGCCCTTGAGGAGGCGGAGGGTGGCCGTTTGTGTACTGCATGGCATATCCGGCCTGCACAGGTGGCGTTGGTGCTTGAGGATACGTTGGCGATCCGGCCGCAGTGGTGGGAGTAGCCACGGGGACTGGGCTCATTGTGTAAGGCGAGGCAGCGTAAGGCGATCCAGGCTGTGATCCAGGCCCGTCGGTTCGAACTCGTTTGTTGGGAGGCAGCGCAAAGCCCGAGTGTGATGTCGCGGGAGATGGGCTTGGCTGCGGAGGCGAAAATGCCGGCGGCGGAATCTGGGGCGAAGGTTGTGGTTGCGCCATATCGTCTACAACTTCTTCGACACTAGAAGCAAGCGAGCGGCCCGGCGGTGGCAGATTCGAACAAACTGAGAACAAAGTGAACGGCGAGCAAACGAAAGTCGGGGCGAGCGATTGCGGCAGTCGAGGCTCTCAACAGGCAGTGAAGCCGCCTGTCACGGTTGCCGTACCTCGTCCCATCCGACGCGCAGAGCTGGCACAGGATTGGCGGGCGGTACGAGATTCTGGCTGTGTGCGATAACGGCACCTGGAGATTCGAATTCGGGCGTCTCGGAGATGGAAATGCGCTGCGTGGCGTCGTCGAGCAAAGAGCTGGTCTCTCGCGGCGCTTTGTATGAGGTTGAAGCTTCGTAGCAAAGGTTGGGGGTCGCGTAAATTTAAAGTCACGTGCACCGGCACTTGGCTGAACTACGCGTCACTACCCGGACTTTAGCCGCCGCTATTGTTACTTATCGTGTAGCCAATTGATGCGGCATGAATATCAGCTTGACTTCACATCATCTTCACTTTCTGTTGTTGGGAAGCTCTGGCTATTGTTGTGCCATTTTTGCAGTGGGGCTTGTGCCATTGGTGCTGCTACGATACTTACTTGTGTTTTCTAACATTCTAGGAACCCCGGTGGCTTGGTGATGCTGATGTGAAGTATTCCTCGTCCTTCCTCTAGGCAGGCATTCTGATCAAACGCGACCATGGCATCCAAGCGGAAGGCGTCCGCAATGAATGCGACCGCGACGGACGAGCCAGTCGATCCCTCAGATGAGCTCATGTTTCTCTGTCTCGGCGGCGGCAACGAAGTCGGACGGTCGTGTCACATTATTCAATACAAGGGCAAGACGGTTATGGTGAGGAAAATCTGATCAATGCAGTCGTGGGCTTGGCTAATCGTTTTATGCTCATTCTAGCTCGATGCTGGTCAACACCCAGCTTACGATGGCCTCGCCGCGCTTCCATTTTATGACGACTTTGACCTCAGCACCGTAGACGTGCTCCTCATCAGCCAGTAAGCGATATCCCGTGCATACTCCCTCTCTCCTCTTCACCAGTCGAAACAAAGTCCAGGCGGCTATAGGTAATGGGCGAAGGGCTTATTGGTGCTTGTTGCGAAGGAAAGGGCATTGTTTCCATCTACACAGTGATGCCGTGTCTCTATGTCTCTCTTGTCTCTCTATCCACTTTATATGCCAGTTATGAATACAATACGTTCTCCGCCTGTTCACGCTTTGCCCCGAGATCATATCTTTTGCTGCCTCGTGATATACCGACCCATACAACCTGCCACTACTACTACTCTCGACAATGAGCCCTGCACGATGCCTCGAGTCTGTTGCTAACCCGTGGGGATAGTTTCCACATTGACCATGCGGCGTCTTTGCCATATGTCCTAAGCAAGACCAACTTTCGCGGTCGTGTCTTTATGACACACCCGACCAAGGCCATTTACAAGTGGCTGATCCAAGACAGCGTTCGTGTTGGAAACACGGCATCAAACTCGGCAACGCAGCTCTACACGGAACAGGATCATCTCAACACGTTCCCACAGATCGAAGCGATTGACTACCACACTACTCACACCATCTCGTCCATCCGCATCACTCCTTATCCAGCCGGCCATGTGCTAGGAGCGGCCATGTTCCTCATCGAGATTGCCGGTCTCAACATCTTCTTCACTGGTGATTACTCGCGCGAGCAGGATCGCCATCTTGTTTCAGCAGAGGTCCCAAAGGGCCTCAAGATTGACGTTCTCATCACCGAGTCAACATATGGCATAGCGTCACACGTGCCGCGCCTTGAACGAGAGCAGGCCCTCATGAAATCCATCACGGGAATCCTCAACCGAGGTGGTCGTGCGCTGCTGCCTGTATTTGCCCTCGGGCGAGCCCAGGAGCTTCTCTTGATCCTGGACGAGTACTGGGGCAAACACCCAGAATTCCAGAGGTTTCCCATCTATTACGCCAGCAATCTTGCCCGAAAATGTATGGTCATTTACCAGACATATGTCGGAGCCATGAATGATAACATCAAGCGACTGTTTCGAGAGCGTATGGCCGAAGCCGAAGCCAGCGGCGATGCAGCGGGCAAAAATGGACCCTGGGATTTCAAGTATATCCGTTCCCTCAAGAACCTTGACCGTTTCGACGATGTCGGGGGCTGCGTCATGCTGGCCAGTCCGGGTATGCTTCAGAACGGAGTGAGCAGAGAGCTCTTTGAGCGCTGGGCGCCCAGCGAAAAGAACGGCGTCATCATCACTGGTTACAGTGTCGAAGGCACCATGGCCCGGCAGATCATGCAGGAGCCCGATCAGATCCAGGCCGTCATGTCTCGCAGCATCGCGGGCGCCCGCCGAGGGCCGGGAGCTGATTCGGAAAAAGTGCTCATTCCCCGGCGATGCAGCGTCCAGGAGTACTCTTTCGCAGCCCACGTCGATGGTGTCGAGAACAGAGAGTTTATCGAGGAGGTTGCGGCCCCTGTTGTTGTACGTTGCTCTCTCTCCCCCTCTCCTCCTTTATGTCAGGAAGAAGTGAATAATTCGACATGTTTACTAAGTATTGTTCAATGTAGATTCTGGTCCACGGTGAGCAGCACAACATGATGCGTCTCAAATCAAAGCTCCTCTCCCTCAACGCCAGCAAAACCACAAAAGTCAAAGTCTACTCGCCTCGCAACTGCGAAGAGCTCCGCATCCCCTTCAAAGCTGACAAGACCGCCAAAGTCGTCGGCAAGCTCGCCTCCATTCCTCCACCAAAGGACGTTGACGCCTCCGCGCCGCTCGTCACCGGAGTGCTCGTCCAGAACGACTTTAAGCTCTCCCTCATGGCACCAGAGGACTTGCGCGAGTATGCCGGTCTTAACACCACGACCATTACGTGTAAGCAGCGTCTGACTCTGAGTGCCGCGGGCGTGGATCTCGTGCGCTGGGCGCTGGAGGGCACGTTTGGAGCTGTGGAGGAACTTCCGGAGATGCGCCGCGTCAAGGACGGCAAGCTAGATGGCGAAGATGAGAAGATGGCTGAAGACGCGGACGAAGAAGTCGCCAACCTGGTGGCAGCCTATCTAGTCATGGGCTGCGTCTCAGTGCGATATCGCACCAACGGCGAGGTCGAGCTTGAGTGGGAGGGCAACATGCTCAACGACGGCATCGCCGACTCCGTCATGGCGGTGCTGTTTTCCGTCGAGAGCTCGCCCGCCGCCGTCAAGCGCTCTTCCAACGGCAAGCATCATTCTCACTCGCACTCCCACGGCGAGTCTGATGACAAGCTGCTCTACGCCGCTCAGCCCGATAGCAAGAACCCGCACGCTCACGTCTCCCCCGCCGACCGTCTCGAGCGTCTCATGTGGTTCCTAGAAGCCCAATTCGGCGCCGACAACGTCGCTCCCGTCGAAGACCCCAAGCTGCCCCCCCTCCCTACCGCCGCCGCCATCTCCCCCAAAGAAGAAGAAAAGAAAGAAGAAGACGACGATGAAGACAGCAAAGAGGCACTTAAAGCAGAAATAACCAACGGCGAAGACGTCAAGCCCGAAGCCATGGACGTCGACGAGGACGGCGCAAAGCAGCAGCTGGAAGAGCGCCAGCACAAGGAAATCGCGCGCCTCCACAAGATTGGAATTCCGGTCCCGGGGATCTCGATCAAAGTGGACAAGATGACGGCGACGGTCTGGCTGGAGGATCTTGAGGTGGAGTGCAACAACAAGGTGTTTGCGGACAGAGTGCGCGCCGTGGTGGAGCGAGCAGTCGAAGTCACCGCTCCGCTATGGGGATAAGGAGGATTGCCTAGGTTTTTTTACATGATGGTGATTTTTTCAACTACGAGAGAGACATATGGGATAGGGACATGGGAATTTGTCGATATACTCCTGTTGGTGGTGGGAATAGTAGAAGTGGTTACATACTTAGATAGATACCAGCGTCAAAATGAAACATGCCAATTGTAAAAATCACAAGAACAAATCCATCACGTAAAATGCATAGCAAAAAATGAGTAGATCAGCACATCATTGTTTCCTTTCTACTTCTCCTTTACATAGAGTCTGCGTATAAGTATAAGAGATGCAAGATATAATCATACAAAAGGGCGCTTTAACTAGCTCACTAGGTCTACTACATGGAGAGGGCGGGAGAAACAAGAAAAGGAAGAAAACAGAGAAAAAACAAAGGAGAAAATTAATTCCACAGATAACACCTCGCACATGTCCCAGTTATTCCAGGTAATTCTTCAACTCTTCCGACTCTTCTATCAGAGTGTTGAACGAAAAGGGCGCAAACGGCCAACCGTTGAACTCCGCAAACTTGGAGAAGGACTCGACCCACGCCAGTCGGAGAGAGTGCAACATGGCACTTGTGCCCTCCATGCAAACCAGAATGGCAATTGCTGAGGAATTGTTAGAATCATGATTAAAATTCAAGAAACGGGTGTTGTTAAGACTTACTAAGGAAGAACCACAAGTAAAAGCCGATGACAATCATGATAACACCAAGCACGCCGCCAGTAGCGAGGCAGGGACCGATGGTCATGTCCCAAAGCACAACGCTGAGCTGCTGGTGAGCAAGCGACAACGCCCAGAGACGCAGGTAGGACGCGGTGTGAGAAACACAGTTCAAGCAAAATTCTAGAGGACATAATTGTTAGCATTTCCATATACATGGACTTGATGACAATTCATCTAGTTGGAATCAACTTACCAATGGTGTGAATGATTTGATGAATCATGACCTCGCTAAACTCAAACTCCTCATGCTCATCATCAATGTTCTGGGAAATCATGGCAACGCCTTCGCCGTCGTCAAAACTATTGCCGTGTCCATTGACCAGGGCCTCGCTCTCGTCATCGCCGTCCAAGGCACTAATTCGAGAGGTCTCGCCAAGGCCTCGGTAGCCCCGGGCGCGGGTCTTGTTGTTCTCCCAGCGAAGGTAGAAGGGCTTGAGGAAAAGCAGAATGGGCACTTGAACAAAAGCCAGCAGAAGCAAGATGCTCTGGACATACTCTTGTCCAGCATACAATCGCTCATCCAGCTTTCCGGGCTGCAGGAACATGTAGATGAGCATGTTCAGCAGACCTGGGGGAGCCTTGCCAACAGCATTCCAATCAACCGACCACTTGTAGATAATGCAAACGACAAGGTAGCCAAAGATGGACTGGAAAAAGATCATGCCGGGGATGAAATTGCCCCAGATGTCAATGGGCTTCTTGAAGTGTCTGGCATTGATGTACGAGAAGCATAGCGAGTATGTCATGTGAGCCCAACCGAGGATGATACTCATCTTCATCTTGTAGCTGTTGGTGAACAGGAGGTTGTTTTCGGTGCCGTGCCAGGCCCAGTCGAGGCCGAACGGGTAGCGATAGCCGTTGTCGTTCAAGGTAGCAATGACGGGCGTGCCTTCGGACCAGTGTTCGGGACGCTCATACTCCCACGCACTACCCCAGAGAGTCATGGACTTGGAGAAGATGTCGTTGTACATGAGACCTGTGAAGACGGAGAACACAGCCATGACGAGAGCGATGTATCGGCCGTAGAAGATCATGGCAAACAGTTCAAAGGAGACCTTCTTCAGCGACTTTTCCCAGTAGATCATGGCCAAGGCGGCAGAAAGCATGATGACGGCGTGACCCAAGTCACCAAACATGACGGCAAACAGGAATGGGAAAGTGACAATGACGGGCAGAGCAGGGTTGACTTCTTGGTATGTGGCTGTGCCATATGCGTTGACAATGGTCTGGAAACCCTCGGTAAACTTGTTGGTCTTGAGATAGGTCGGGGGCTTCTTGTTGGTATTAATCTCGTTGACGATGGATGGGACGGATAAGCCAGCTCGGTTGGTGACATCCTGCAGCGTGGAGCGGATGAGAGGCATGTCGTTGGTGGGGCACCATGCCTCGGCGATGAGCGTTCGGCGAGCCGAATCATACGAGAGAAGGTTGAGCGTGCTGTAGACAGCCTTCTCCTTGGAGATGAGCACTGTCCAGGGAGCCAGCGACTGAGAGATTTGGTTGAGCTCAGCCTCGAGAGTGGCCTGGGTGTTGCGCAAGACGTTTTGCACATCCTCAAGACGATTGTTGACCTCGTGAATCTGGTCGCGGCGAAGATCGCTGTTCTCGTCGACATTGTAGACGTCGGCACCCATGGACTCGGAGATCTTGCGGATCTTGCTGAGAATTTCCTTGCCGTGGGCGAAAATGACAAAGACGTTCTTCTGGATGGCCTCGTTGTTGGTCGGGTCAATCAAGGGCTCCGGGATCTCCGACTGGTTCATGTACAGGTTTCCTCGGAGAGTTCTCCAGAGGATACGCTCGAAGGCGGCGACACGGTCCCTATTGATGACACCGGCAACAAAGCCAATGTTAATGCCGGAGAATGAGCGCTCAACGTCGGGCGCGGTGTTGTGCTGCTCGATGTCAGACAGGAGAGGCGCATCGTCATTGTCGGTCGACGCGCGGATTTCATCGACGTTGCCGTGGGCACGGTCAAAAAAGCTGCCGGCCTCTCGCAGAACCCAGCGCCACTCAGTGAGATCACCCTCGCGCTTCTTCAGCGTCTCGTAGCTGTCGTTGAGGGCGGAAATGCGCTGCTCAAGCTTCTGAGCCCGCTCAGCAAGCTCGTCGATCTCTGACGTCGATGGAGACGCAAGCTTCTCGGCGTCAAGATCCAGCTTCCGCAGGGGAATGCCCGCTTTCTCCATCTGAGCGTAAAAGTAGCCTAGGCACTGAGTGTTAGTCGAAGCCGCGTCGGGGTCGATGGGTAGATAGATGGAGCGAGGTGTCTCGCCAGTGACGTACGTAGCTGTCGCTCGACATTATCAAGTCGTCGAATCTCCTGAGTAAAGGTTCGCTGGAAGGCGCTGACGTCCTCATTGAGCTATTCCACAGATAGAACTGGTTAGCAAACCTCGACTATCGTGGCTCGGCGTCGTCATCCAGGGCAAACGCCAACAAAGGGAAGGGCAATACATACATCGCGAAACTGGCACAGGCCAAGCTCTCCGAGCGCAGTCACAACCTCCCGACCGATTTCGTTGGAGACGTAGAGCTGCACCATGCTCATTTCCGCCGAGCGGAACGGCGTGTCCTTTCGCGGAGCCATGGTGATGAGGTTTTAAGACTCCAAGGCCCAACTCGAGGATTGTGTTGGGGTTGGGAGGGAGATATTGAAAGAGAGAAGCTCCTTGGAGGAGATGGATTGAAGGTACTAGGAATACTGACGGCGCCGCGAATTGTTCCGTTACGTACGTACCTGCATCCGGTCACGTGAACCGCCTCAGCTCTATGTACATACCGCCTGCGCATGTTAGTCGGAGCCAAAACTAGAGCCGTCCGTACCCAAGGCATCATAATTCAATGTGCGGTATTGCGTTGCATTGGGGAATGAGCGAAATATTTGCATTTACGAATGTTTCTTTATTTTTGTTTTATTCAATTTTTTTGAGCTTTGTATGTATATGGATATGGCCCTTTCTCAATGTCGCAGGTGCCAGTTGTGCCATCTTAAGCCGCCGTGCTGGCTCTGTCATTACTCATCCATTTCTGGACATTTCCTAAATGGGTCACATAAGACGGCGATGCCTCTGTCGCCTTGCATTGCATGGGACCATTCACCGACAAATTTGATATCATCAATTGTGATTCATTCATTCACTCGTCCAATTAGCAACTATGTAGAGCACTAAATCAGGAACGACAAGATAAACCTTGGTGCATGCGCCTCTAAAAGTGGATATCGCCAACGATGCTTTGAGCCCCTCGTTATCCCTTAAGCCACGCGTCAACCTTTAACATTCTGTCCCAATAAACGCCCAAACTTTTTTTGTATCTTTTTCCCTACTAAACAGAACGCTGAGTAAAAGTATGCTTTTGGATATCTTCCCAGTCCCAAACACCGTCCGAAAGCAAGCTTGTATGCACCATGCTGATCGTGATAAAAATCCAGAGTAGAGAAAGGGCAAACCCAAACAGATGCCTGTTGAAAAAGAAAAAAAAAACGCAAGTTCCAATCAACCTTTAGAGGCGTAAACAGAGTAATAAAAAAGAAAAGCGAAGAAAAGCGAGTCATTAGAGACGTCGTCCAAACATGAAGGAGCCATACATGCCGCCGACTTCGGCCACGGCGACGGGGATCTTTCTCATTCCCCAGCTGTCGGCGCCCATCTTCCACAGGCGGCCTCCGTTATCCTGAGTCGTGCCGTCCGGGTTTCTCCGTACAAGCCAGTAGCGGCTACCAAACTCTTTGGCAGTCCAGCCTACACGCTCGAGATTCTTGTTCACCTTGGCAGCCCGTTCATAGGACCGCTCGCCGATTTCAATCACATGAAGCGGGGCCGAGGCGGGGGCCAGCAATTCACTGGCGCTTCCGATGAGAGTATCGATGTCTGAAATATCGAGGAATTTCAGATTATGAGGGAGGGCTTTTTGGCCCTGGTAGAAGAGGCCTTGAATATCGGCCATACCCAAGCCACGACCGAGAGCGAGCTCCTCCAGAGACTGAGAGAGTCTGATAAGCTCAGGCAGGTGTGAGGACTCCATTCGGCTGCCCCGCAGGCTCAGCGAACGCAGAGTGTTTGGCAGCTTTGGTAGAAGCTGGTCCACATCTTCCTTGCCCAGTAACAAGTGGTTGCTCGCATCGGTGGCAAGGCTGAGGAATATCAGGGATTTGGCCGCGGGGTGAGACGAGATGAATTGCAGAACGGCCTCTGCAGATAGATCCTTGCACTTGGCGAGATTAAGGTGAGTGAGTCTCGCAGATGCAGGGATGGAGAGAAGGGCTTGGTCGGTGATGCGTGTACCCGCAACGTCCAAGTGAGTCAATCGAGGCAGTCGAGGAAGAATCTTCTCAAAGACAGACGAGGGTAGGCTGAGACACTTGTGGAAAGACAACTTTGTGACGGATAGAGTTTCGGGCCACTCGTCTTTCAATACGTTGGTGAACGAGGTCTTGAAAGAGAGGGAAGAGCAGCCACAAAAGTCTAATGCGCGGAGTTGGGGGGAGTTGAAGAAGAGTTGGCGCAGTACATCGGTGCTAAGATCTTCGTCGATGTACTCCTGGACCAGAAACTCTTGAAGATAAGGAGTCAGCTTAAGGCACTGGACAAGCGTCTCTGATGTCAGATTTTTTGCCTGTGCCCTCTCGCTGGCAGTGGTGAAGAACATGGAGGGGTTGAAGTGACTAAAGTCGAGGCGCCGCACAATGGTCGCCAACGACGGGTATGCCGTAATAGTGGCCAGGAACTTGCGGAAGATTCGAGAGTGGGGAATAGTAATGTGTCGGTAGAGAGTGGTGAGGGTGGCCGCGTGAAGAGATCGGGATGTGAGGAGTAGGGACATGAGGTCGGCGTTGCGAGTGGTCAATCCATTGGGAGGAAGCTCGATGAATAGAAGATCGATGATGGCACCTGCGATAGAAGAGAAGGTTAGCCCCAAGCCCCGTTACTCAATTTTTTCTATTTTTTACAATGCACTCCACAATCCTGAAACCATGGAAGAAAGCTTGGAAAATGGATGAGGGGATGAATTTACCTAGCACTTCGCTGGGCAGCTGTTCGAGAGGCGATGCAGTCGTCGGATAGGCTTCGTGAGGCTTGTTGACAATAACAGGAGCTGGCGTCTCCCAAGTCATATGCAGCTTGTGCAGATCTTCGCAGCTGCGGCTGGCCGTCCGTCCCTTGAGCGGAATCTCCCTCCATCCTCTGAAGCCCTCGGCGGGATACCAGAAGCCATGGAGCTTGCTGTTTGGCTGCGTCAAGGGTTGGTGAAAGGCCGACTGAGGCAGCTCGGCCACTGGTGATTCGTCAAAGACATCCTCGGGCACCTCCGTGTACGACGAGATCTTGGATCGGGTGAAGGTCTGGGCAATTCCATCGTCGTTTTCTCGCACCGACGAGAAGGAGGATCGCGAAGCTGTCTCGGACGGCGGAGAGATCGCGCGAGCCATACTCGAGCCCTTGAGGGAGTGTGAAGCAGCGTGTTCGAGCACCGAAGGTCGTCGGTGCTCAGAGCCCCGGGGGGTGGCCATGTAGTTATATGCTCTTTCTTGGGACAAAAGTAAGGGTATGTCGTGTTAGCCCGGCCGAGCAAAAGTTTAGTCTGGTTGTGGCGCCGAAGCTAGTGGGAAGTTTGTAGGTAATGACTCTTGTCTGCGCGTGGGAAGTGGAGAGGGGAGGGTTTTGGAAGCGTCGTTGGTGAGGAGAGAAATTGGACGAGATGGGGTCTTGCGAGGTGTTTGCTGCCCTCTTTTTCGCTTGGGAGAATCAACAATCGTCAAATCGTCTTCCTATCGCTTCTTCCTGTTTCTTTCTTCTTCTTTTTCTTCTCCTCCTTCCAAGCAAAGACAACAGACACGCACGGGGAGATGGAGGTAGATGTGAAGTGGGCTCCAGCAAACGAAATGCACTGCAGCAGAATGAAATGATTCAGAACGCTTGGGGTATTTCTTTGCACAATACAACGACGCAGAATCTCAGAAAAACCAGCGTGCAAACCTAGATAAAAGCTTTTTATAAGGGCGAAAGAACAGGTCCTGTCCGGTGGCGGTTTCGTGGTGGTTCTGGGGATTTTTATGTGTAAGTCGAACGTCGTCCGAGTCGGACAGGGGGGGTGTGGAACTAAGGCGAAGTTTCGCTGCACTCTCGGGACCTTTTTTGGGGGGAAGATTTGCTGCTAAGGGGCCTCGTTGCGCCCGGGGGTGTGCAGATAGACGCAGCTGCGAGGCCCAATCCGGCACCCATTTTTGGGGCATCGTTTGTGCCTGTGCCTGTGTTGGCCGCACTCGTACCTGTACTTGAGCCAGTGCGGAGTCGCCAGCAACAGACAATGACACCTCCCAGTACCGGTACAAGTGCTGATCACGTACGCAAACGCAACAGCACCCCAGGATTTGCGGCATACAGTAGCGGTGGCCGGAGATGCTGCTCTCTGCGCCACTGACCAGGCCTGACGGGGGAGCGTTTGCCGCGGGCCTTTAGGGCTCTCCAGCGCTCCCAGCAGCTGCACCAGGGCCTCTCGATTGGCGCTCCGGGGCGGGAACGTGCTGGCACGCGGCGCCCCCCATTAGCTCACAGCACGTCTGGATTGTGTAATGAAAACCGGTGACTGGATGTTTCTGCCCGTCAGGTGAGCAGCGCTGGGAGCAAGTGCCACTTGGCTCATTGAATCTGAGCGAGCAAGCAGCGAGTCGAGTCGAGCCCCGTGAGGTGAGGGGCGTGTCAATTGATGCAATGCAATTTGGGGGGGGAAAAGTAAAAAAGGGCACGGCCGTTGGTTGCTCTACACATCGTACAGGTACGAGTACATGCACCAAGGGGGGCGGCATCACCAAATCCTTCGTCCCTGCCCTTCTGGGCTCGGAATATTCTCCAAGTCTTCTGCGGCTTGCCCATTGCAGCAAAGTATGCGGTGCCTCTCACAGGTACGAAATACTGGCAAATATTCAGAGTTCATCAGCACTCTATTCCTCCCGGTGGCTGTCCATCCTCACTCTCACCACGTCATCTCTCGGCCAAAAGCAAAAGCAACAACAAAAAAAAAACCAACAGCCGCCCGGTCAATCCCTCCGGCTCGGGAGGCGCGGTGGGTATGACGCTGGTTGGAGTGCCGTAATAGAAATTCCGGGTTTGGAAAAGCATCTCCAAGCCTCTCTAGCCTCAATCCCCCGAATATCTGTTACATAATCAGTCGCCATTCTTCCTCCTTCCAGCTTCTAGGCCTTCCAAGCTCAACTCAACGTTACTTAGCAAACTTGTCCTCGTGATCTCTTCGTCGTTGGTGCTTTTCCTCTTCCATCCAGCCATCTCGCTTGCCCACATTGCCGGGAAAAGGGCCAATGCTACCAAGCTCCTGATTGACAGGCCACCCCTTAAAAAAGCCCTCGGTGATCGTTCTCATGTTTGCGTTGCCCAGGTACTGGTACGCGGAGTCAATGGAGAGGCCTGGCGTGTTCATCTGACGACCCGTCGATGCGACAAGCCAGCAGCGAGACAGCTTCCCCGTATTACACGCCGTATTAGACTACACGGGGTCCGATTTAGCCAGCCACGGGCAACCACGCAACGACACACTGCATCCTGCTTAGGATTGGTCAATGGCATCGGATCGGGCACGCCGCCGTAGCGGCCGGAAAGGAAGAGCACATTCATCTTTCGTATGCTTCGTCCAGCTTCGTCCAGCTTCTGCTTCTGTTTGCTGCTTCTCTTTCTGCCGTCATCAAAGCAGGTCACGAGCCTGCTCTGCTGGCGGTCGTGATCCGAGATTCCGGTCTCAGGCCTGTGCTTTGCCAAGATGCATCATTACATACCCGCAGTGCTTGACATCTTACAATATTGCGCACCCCGTTCTCCGTCTCATGGTAATCATTGGTACTGTAGTCGCTGTCGGCCATCGGATGCGGCATCGAGTGGATGCCGGCGTTAACGGCTGCTGCAGCAGCGTTGTAAGATGAATCCCCCATACCTCGTATGAGTGCACTCGTACATGAGGCCGTCAACGTGGCTGGATCACCGGCAGCACCAATTGCAGGTTCCCCTTTGCAAAAGCCGCGACGCCGACAATTCGGGCGAATAGGACACACAGCTTCGCGCGTTGGTACGAGTATTCATGCATGGCCGCTCAAGGCTGCAGCACAGCAGCCGCCGTGTGAACCGAAGCCAGCCGATGCCGATGGACCCAGATCCAGAGGCTGAATTTTTTACATGGAATCCGTCTTGGTGCCTTTTTTTCTTACTATCCACACCCCTCGCCTGTCCAACTGCTCTGCGACGTCGGACTCCAGGATTGTCAGAAGGGAGGGTGAGTAGTGAGTAATATCCAGTTGTTGCTGCATCATTACGAGGCTTGTCTTTCGGTGACATGACATTGGAATCTGACGTGAATGCGCAATTCGGATAGGGCCAACGGACAAGACGTGGCGTTCAATTACAGACGTCATCCAGATCCCCGAATATCTCTTATCAGATCCTGCTGCCCTTTTTTCAACGCCTGCCCACCCTTATCATGCACCCAGACAAGCCAGAGCAAAACACGACCACTCAGCAGCCCCGAAATGGCGTGCTAACGTATTTAACCTTGATTTTTGTCTCTGCCCATTCTCTTTGTCGCAACTTTACCAAAACGGCAACTCTGCATCCCGGATAATTTTTAGCAGCAAAGTAAGACAAAGTCGTGATGCCTGATACCACATCCACATCAACCTTGCTCTTGAGATCCTGCCTCTCAGCAAGCGGGCATAGGTATACATTCCATTCTCACCACTTTTGACAATACTTCTCAAGCGATATAAATTGGGTTAATCGAATTAATCGATGGGTCTAAAGCACTGGTACCCAGCCCATATTTGATTGGCACAAAATGCTCCATGGTCTGGCGACATTGGAGCCAAGTATTGCCTAACAGATGATTCGATGCTCACAAATGAGTTATCATACGCTCCCTGCCTCTACCTGATCCTTACATACACTTCAACTCCCCCTTGCTTTACCGTTGGCATGCAACAGTAGCTTTCCTGCCTTGGTAGCACCAATTGCTTCCGTAGCACAAGCATCCGGCGCTCGATAGGCGATGCAGCCACATTCTGCTGGCCATCGTAAAATACTGCAGGCCATCGGCGTGTTTCACCCATTGCCCTTTACTTGTGCACACAAATCACATCATGCTGCAACCCCGTAGCACCGACCACCTGCAGGAAAGCAACTCCCAACAGACCCAACTTGCATCTGGTTGCACAAAAAAACGAAACCTTGAAGGACTTTTTGTTTTCCATTACAGATACTTGTATATGCCTTAAAACGCCGATAAATACTAACCCAACGCTGACGAAAGTCGCTGGACCCCACGAGTCTTGACCAATCACCAGACAGACACCAACAACATTGTAACCTCAAGGCCAGCCCAACGGCAGCCAATCTCGTCGTAACAAAAGTGATGAGCCCGGCCACGCTCCCGCTCAGTCCTCCATGTCGACATCGTCGTCGTCTTCGTCCTCCTCGCCATCGTCCTCCTCGTCCCGGAAAGTCTCCACCTCTTCCTCCACGCCTCCGTCTACCCGGACCTTGATCCTCCTCTGCTCGCCGCCAAACGCCTTGATCGTGTTCTTGCGCGCAGACAGCAGCTCCTCCTCGGCGGCAACATCCGCGCCCTGGGCCGCCAGCTCGGCCAGCCTCTTCTTCTCGCTGCCGCGCAGGCGGGGCAGCAGGTGCTCGTTCTCGGCGACCAGCTTGCGGGCAATGGCCAGCTCCTTCTCGCGCTTGCCGGCCATGCGCTTCTTGTAGAAGACGCGCTCGCGGCGGGCGCGGATCTCGCTGACGCGCTTGATGGCGGCCATGGTCTTGGTGGCCAGGTCGCGATCGTAGCGGATGGGCTCGTTGCGGCGCTGGGCGAACTGCAGGGTGCTGTCGACCGTCATCTCCTTGCCGGCGTTGCGGCGGTAGGCCTTTGTCCACTTGAGCTTGCGGGGGTTGCGCTTCATCTTGTAGTTGCGGTTGCATTTTGATCTGCAGAATCTGAATGATTTGCCTAGATGAGGACAAAGGTCTCCCGGTTAGTTTGCCATTGCTCATCCAACTATCGTATGGAGGGGGGATAAAATCCAATGTGGCGGAACACTCACCATCGTTTCTGACAAAGGTAATACCCTTGGAAGGGTAGGCCGGACGGCCACAAAAGCTGCAGTCCTCAATCCTGGATGCCAAGTCAGTAAAGCAGTCGTCGTAGAGGCCCGTATCCTGAAAACGTACCGCATCGTGGCTGTTTGATGTGGACTGTGAAGATGCTAAACTGGGTATCAATATCAAATCGAACAACGTTCGTCCACCCTCAGCAAGCAAAACTCTGCCATAATTTTTTTTTTTAGCCGCTAGTCGTTATCGATAACAGGGCCCCTCAGCCACAACTTTTTCCAGCGAACGAACGCACAGCCACAGCCACCCCTCTTCCCCACCCCAGTCAGATCTGCTCGTCCACCACTTGCTTTTCAATATTTGATGCTACTCTGTACTATTTTCTCCCCCTTCTCGCTCTTATTTCTGCTAGACCGACTATTATTCTGCCACTAGCTCAGATCCGTCAGGGCGGCTCTTGGGTCCCCTCCTCCCACACTGGGAAAGGAACAAAAAAAAAAGGGAGCGTAAGTAAGAGCAGGGGCCGCTTGCTCAAATGCTGCTGCTAGCGGATTAGTGACGCCTCAACAGGGGGGCTAGAAAAAGGCCTAGAAATTTCTTCCCCGGATTTTCGTTATGTAAATGAGCGGAGGAAGAAGGCATCACGCGGAGCGCTAACACACGGTGGTTTTATTGTCTGGCCTGGAGTGTTTTGTCGCAGAAAAGATACACCTGTTCTTTGACCTTCTCTGTGCAGTCAGCTTACTTTTTGCTGGGCAATCAGGTGCGGCTTTTTTGCTTTCTGTTTTCTTCATGGTCTTTCAAAACTCTATGTGTGTTACAACTCAGTCCGGAGATGCTTTCGCCGTGTAACATCACAGAAGCTCTGCCTCGGTTCTTTGCATGACCACCTACCTAATGTTTCCTCATCCATCCAATACTTTTTCAAAAAAGCCACCTAACCTCCCCAAACCGCCATGCCGCGGAATATTCATTACCTTAACGTAATTAAAGCTCCCCCCCTTCCCCTCTCGAAAATACGGGGGAACAATGAGGGGGGGCGTGTGAATACCATCAGCCTGATTTAGCAAACACAAACAAAAACCACACAATACTGTTGGGGGGAGCACGTTGCAGCCGGCAATCCCCCCTTTATTTAGCATTCAGTTTCTCATTCCTTACAGACCACAGAGGACCTTTGTAGCTAGTGCTGGTGGGTAAGATGGATTACTTGCACATATCGCGTGAGAGAGCCTCCTCGTGGTGACTTGATGCCGGAAACCGTAGGTCTGTGGGTTGTATCGGGGGAGGAGGAAACCCAAGGGAAAAGGTCGCTTTGGATGAGGCCGTGCCGTATTAGCCGCGTATATTGCTAATAAGTAAGCTGCGTTTGGTGCTTGTGTTGCCATTGAGATGCAAAGCAATATATTTCCATCTTGGCACAGCATGTATTGCTACGTACGTAGTAGTGTACAATTGGCAGGGATTGATGCTATTACATGGAGTATACTCTGGGCTTATTCTGTGTTTACTACTTGGTAGGAGCTGGAGGTAAGGTTAGAAGCCTCTATTCCGCATGATATATAAATACGAGCAGCAATGAAACACAAAGCTTCATTTTATGAGGTAATAATACGACATCAACTTGGTCTGCTGTGCTTCATCCTCTTCTCCTCTGATTACTACTGAAAATAGTCCCTCTCAATTACTCCTTGCTACTACTAACAGGCTATCCCCATATGCCCCATACCCCATATACCCCATACATGACTTACCTACTCACTACAGGCATCACTACAGGCATCTACATATGGGGCCAGACACGTACTCATCACGCACATTGTGCTCCACGTCGCTTCATCGATGATAATGTCTATTGGCGGACCTTTCGGACCAATATATGCAGAGTTGCCTTTGAGCTATCCTGCCGAAGCTACCTAGTGCATCCGTGTTACCTAATGAGAATCCCGTCATCTGTTTCCCAGCTTCACCACAAAAGCAAACATCAAAAAACGGCCACTGGCATCCTTCGTCGTCTGGTAGAGTCAGTCTGGAACCGCGTGCTACCTTGGAGGATCCCCATCATGAAGAATCCGCTGCCGATTGATCTGTTTCGACGTCCACAGTTTGTCACAGATATCCCTCCCCCCCGCCGTCCTAATACCACCAAAAACCCCCGCCTCCCAGTTTGCATTGCGACGCCAATAACGACATATTTGTCTATGCTTCCAACATGTACTTGCCTAGGCAAGGTGTTTCCCCTTCTCAGATCCTTTGTGTAAGTAAGGTGCGTCTCATGCACACAAAAGACTGCGTAAATCCGAAGCTGGAAACCCGAGTGTGAATAATATCCGTAACAAGCCTGATATGATATGTGGCCGAATCCTATGTGAACAAAACGCCGCGTTGGTTGTTGAAATGAGCATGATGCCGCATGCTTTTAGGAACTAAAGAAGAAGAGAGACGAAAAGAGATGAATGGAACAGAAGAGACACGTTGAAACAAACGCCGAGCAACCAAAAACACACAAAAACGCATCATAAACAATGTCTGGTACTCCAAAGGCAACGATGCTTTTTCAATCAAGCTTTACAAATCGCCTTGCTAAACGTTTTGTCTTCGGCGTTATCTCCGGCGATGCAGCCTTCGACTATCGGCTACCATTCTTCTTGCTACCCATCTTGAGACGTTCCTTGCAGTCTGGGCAGTACCATTTGGCTGTCAGACAGTGTTAGCATCATCATCTTCTAATACCACTGGACGGCTCTTTTTGAAAGGGGCATGTTGGAACTTACTTTTCGAACTTGGCGCAACCTTTAGGCCCACACAAGCCAAATGAAACCATTCCCTAGCACAGTCGTCTGAATCGCATGCCACCATGGCGCCATAACTAATACTATTGCAATAACAATATGTCTGTTCGTCTGCGTCGACATCGGCATCTTCGTCACCATCGTCGCCCTGCATGCTGCTGTTTCCGTCCTCATCCACGAGCTGAGCCAGAGCCTGTGCTCCTGCAACGCCCTTCTTCTGCTGAGACTTTTTGCCATTGCCAGTTGGCTCAGCATTGCGCGTTGTCCTCGGCCTGGCGGCCGCCGCGTCTTGGAAACTGGGTAGAGCCGGGGTGGACGGCTTGCTTGCTCTTCCGCTCTTGGTCGTGACCATACCCGTGCTTTGCGGTGTAGACTGAGTAGGCTCGCTCTTGCGGTCCGTCTCGTCCACTCTACTATTCCTGCGACTGGAGGAGGTGGTGGTGGTAATAGCAGGAGGGATGGGGGTCGCCGCAGGCTTATCCTCTACTTGCTCTGGCTCCTTTGGCGACGGCTCAGTCTTGACTGTCACCGCGGGTTCCTTGCTGGGTTCAGAGTCATGGCCAGGGCGTGACCAGTTTGCGGCCGGAGTGATTTCCGGCGTGCTGGGAATATTCCCATTTGTCTTCTTCGCCGCCGACGAAGGAGGCCTGGCCTTGCTGGCTTCTGAGTTTGACTGTATAGAATTCTGTCGTGCGCGGGACGTTGTCGGACGAGGGGCGGGCGTGGGTGCCGGTGCCGGCGCCGGTGACGGGCGGCTTGTTGGCACCTTTGTCTCTGGTAGAACTCCTAGGACAGGAGACGACGCAGCTGACGGCGACATGGTAGCCGATAGAGCATTCCTGAAAAAGGACAAGACAGTCAGTATCATAGTCTAGGTCAAGTGAATAGAGAGGTAGGGGATGAGAATAGACAAAGCCATACTTCTTCTTGGATTGGCCGCTGCTCGTGGGCAGAGCCTTGCGTTTCTTCGGCACCTCTGGAGCCGGAGTCTCTCGAGGGCTAGTGGTGGGCTTCGTTTTGGATGAGTTGTTTCCAAAGACGAGGCTCATGGCACGCTCCATCTGGGGTGCCTCTCCACCACTGGCAACAGCTTTCTCCTTGTCTTGGCCCTTGTCTTTGTCTTTGTCTTTTTCCTTTTCCTTGTCTACTTTGCGCCTCTTCTGGGGAGGATTGTTGTTGGAAGATGCTCCAGTAGAGATACCCAAACCTATGTTGTTGCTATCGGCCGTCTTTCGAACTTTGCTAGAGCTAGTCTTCTTGTTGCTGCCATCCTTGTTCCGGCTATCATGATCATCCGCCTCAGAGTCAAGGGCATGCACCTTTTGGCTCTTCTTGGCTTGGACAGCCTGCTTTCTGGCGTCGCTTCGAGCGGCGGCCTGTTCCGCTAGGGCCTGTGCAGCTGCCGAGATCGCCGCCGCGCCATCACGCCGGGATCTTTCAGCTGCCGAATTCTTGCCATTGCGGTTTTCGGGGTAGGCCCAGTGTGTGGTGCTTCCCCATTTCGCTTCGTCGCTGAATTCGTTTTCTAGATATGGCCATACATCCTCCGCGCGAGCCAGTTGTCTTTGCAACGCCTCGTTCGCTGTGGAAATGACATGATTCTTCTCCTCCAGCGACACGAGCATTTCTTGTATTTTGATCGCGGTCTGGCGGAACAGCTGGCGGCGATGGAGGTTCGAGGGGTCGAACACGCCGCCGTTGGTATCTTCGGTCGAAATCACGGGCTGATTGTGCTGCTTGAACGCAATCCCGTTGGAGCTTGTCTGGGCGTTCGCGGGTGCAGAGCTCAGCGCCGTCGTGCTGGCGGCGTCATTGCTCGCTAGCGCTTCGGGAACAGCGAAAGTCCTCGCGGAGGCGACGAGCTTGAAAAGCTGCTCCTGAGGAGCGAAGATCTTGGCGTCGACCTCCTTGAGCAGAGTAAAGTGTCGGACGAGCTCTTTGGGGAGGGCGGTAATAGTATCGGCAAAGTGAGTAATGGCAGGGAAGATGTCAATGGGCTGGTCCCCAACTGGGCCGCCCAGCGAGTCTCTGGTGCCGGAGCGAGCAGCGGTCGCTGAGCTTCGGGGAGGGTTTGTGCGCGTCTGGCGGACAGGCTGCGACCTCCGGTGCGACGGCGCTTCCACGACGGGAGCCTTGGCCGACTTCATTGCGAACACGGCGAGGACTGGACGAGGGATTGTGTGGGAATCTGCGTAGAGGGGCGACAGCAGCCGGCGAACTTTTTTTTGGCCCTTGGAGGGCGATGGATATTGCTAAAGAAGGATAAACAGTGAAAAGACGCCTCTGATTGGGGACCGCCTAGGCCATCCTGCTCCGAAGCCGAGGTTAGAGAGCCAGATCATGCGTGGGAGGCGTGGAGACGGTAAAGGTGATGATGAAGCAGCAGAATCGTATCTCTGAGTTTGGGGAGCGAGGAGCACATCTGCCGCGAGATACGGGGGTACGTACCGCCCGATTCTGCCGTTCCTGGTGAGCTAGCGGCGCATGACACAGCGCGGACTGCACTGGAGACCAGCTGTCATTGGGCAGCCGGAAAAAGCTGGGCTCCGAGAGAGCTTTGGGTTTACAGGTATGGCGTCAGCTGAGCTGCACACAATTGCGCGCGCATTTGCTTGTACTTGTGCATATGGGGCCTCTTTTGTGCTTCTTGATAGTAGTTGACTTTATTGCGAATTCTATCTTGAAGAGGCAAAGGAACAGCAAGGATATAAATTGGATAAAAACCGCTGAGAGCGAATATCAAATACAAAGAGGAGATTACAGTCTAACGCGACAAATTGCATAGCGAGAATCGAAAGGGCCTTCTCCCATAACCAAAAGAGAACAAAAGCGCTGAGTACTAATAATACGATATGATGTAATATGCCATGCCTCTCTATAGAACGAAACGGGGTATCGTCGCCATAATCACTCCATCATGCTTCGCGCCTTGGCCGTCCTCGCCTTGGCCGAGGGATTCTCCCTGTCCGACTGCTTCTGTCTCCATTGCCACTCCAAGAGCACCCAAATGAAGTCCTTTAGGTCGAAATCTGGCCATAGACACTTGCGGAAGAAGATGTGCGTGTCTTGGTGGCACTGCCACAGCATGAAGTCGCTGAGCCGCTCAACACCGCTCGTTCTGACAAAAATGTCCAGAGGAGGGTCATCAGCAGTGTATATGTGTCGCTCAATGGTGTCCACTGTGATGCTGTCGGGATTGGGCAGCGCCGGAGAGCCGTATGACCCAGACCTAGTGAGCAACCGAGGCTCGGGAGAGTCCGGGGGCAGGGTAGTAGAGGATGAATCGTTATCGTCGTATTCGCCATCGTCGAATGGCTCGTCTGGAATTGTGGGCAGTGGCTCACGTCCGTCGAATTGGCTAGACAATATCTTCTGCCTGATGCGCGATGGAGAGAAGGGGGTGTTCTTGGGAGGCGTCGGAGATAGAAACTCTTGCACGGTTGATCGGATGGCAGTTGTCATCTCTGCCCTCGAGGTGTAGGGGAAGCAGATGTTCAGGACGGCTCTAAACCAGACCGTTAGCTTGTCTTCAACCCAATAGGGCACAAGATCTCGATACGTACTTGTTGTTGTGCTTGGTCCTTGCCACAGCCCTGTCCATGACCTCCAGAACGTCTTCGCGGATCAACTCACGCTGGCCCAGGATGCGGACGCAAGCTCCATAGCGGTCAAGGATATCGCCATAGGTTGTTAACTGCTCCAACTTGACTTTTGCAAGCTGCATCAATCCTTCGACCTCATACTTAGGCCGGTTGAAGTTCTCGATGCTGAACGCGTAGACAGTCACGACTTTCACGCCGCACTTGTAGCAGATTTCCATGATCTAGACGCAGCTTTGTGTTAGCTACGAGACATAGCTTAGGTAATAGAGCAACGAACCCTGGCCAAGGCCTCAAAGCCACGGTGATGTCCTTCGACAGTCTCCATGCGGCGGCTTCTGGCGTAACGTCTGTTGCCGTCCATCTCAAAGGCAACATGCTGAGGGATTGGCCCCTGCTTGAGGGCGCCAATAAGCAGCTCACGGAGCTGGTTGATGGCCCATTCTCCCGGTGGTGATTCGAGTATTAGCCTCTTCAAACCCGAAACCGTGTCGGCCATGTCGAGACCAAGAGAAGGAAGAAAGGAAAGGCGTGTAAAGGAAGGACGGTGCTCTGGGAGGATTAGGCCGAAGGGGGGCGCGAAATAGGTGCTCTAGTTTTCCTCTTTAATTAGACGGCTTTAAGAAGAGAAAACACAAGAAAAAGAAAGAAAAGGCTGATGCAAAAGATGGAGAGAATTCAAGAGTAAAGGAAACGAGAGCTTCAGTGGAACATGATGAAGGCTGGAATCAACAGTAGGCGCAGGCCAGAGGATTTGGAGGCAAAATCACCGAGGTGGACAAAGATTTGATTTGATCAAAGGGCCGCGAAAATGCTGTGGCGAAGCTAGGCGGAAGCTCAACTGGCCACATTTGTTGTTCAGCGCCTCGCCGCTCTAGCGCAGGTTTTTGGCGGGCTTCGGAGATCTGGGACAGGGGCATATCGACAGCAAATCCGAGGCGAGACAGCGCTACCCCCCTTGCTTGGTTGGGAAATGGAAGCACTATCAAATGATTACGAGGTTCAACCGATTTGATGATTCTAGATTGGATGTCTCATGTTCACACCGATGCTTAGGCTCATAAATACTACTAGTTTATTAAAATAGCCACGTTTTGTAGCACGTTGTTAATAAAGTTTGACGTTCTGTCAATTACTTACCCAGCACCTATCACCGGTATAGAGTTTTACCATTGACATGCATGGATACAGACCCAACAGAGCCCTATGATGACAGGAGCAATAAACGAGAACCCCTGGCCACCAGCCTCGGTGGCTGACGGCGGTGCCTGATGATCTCACCAGTAGGAGTTTTACCATGGACAGGTTTATTTGACCTGGTCTTATATTCCCGCCACGTTCCAAACATTCCAGGATTTCCAACGGCGCCCTGGCTTTATCTTAGTGCCACTACTTTGATGACTAGTTTTTTACATTAGTCTCCTCTGTCGTGCTGATTTTTAGCTGCTCTAATACTGCTAGTCTAGTGCCTTTTGCCCACAGGCTATCAGTTTTCTAGAGTTGATATCCGCTCGTCGTAGGATTCGGTTGCTGACTCGATTCCAATCTGTAACCAGTAACCGTCGCCGTAAAAGTCCTGACGTCACTCCTTCATATCGCGGTCCAATTCAATTCTTGCTTCTCCTCACGGCGACTTTTGTGCTCATACAAACCCCAATGGGCGTCGGCTAGGGGCCCTTATGCAAAGCAGCTGTTGGGCAAAAATCCATAGTTATGCAGAGCTGCTGCGAGGAAAGCCTGCTATCAATTGGCACAAGCTCCGCCATTGGCCCCTGTGCGCTGTTATCCGCTGGAGAACGACGTCATGTTGACAGCGAGACGTGAGACCGTTGGGTGTCAAAAAACCGTGGCAACGTGGGTTTCAGCTGACATGGCGCCACGGGGGGAACACTCCGTTTATATCGTGCAAAGGTGAAGTCAAGGTGCAATCACGCCCACGTAGACCCGGTAAACGACAGCGCCGTTCCATGGTTTATACCTGCTATCAAGGTCACTAATCTCTAGCGGTAAAACGGAACATTCAATCGTCATCACGGCCATTAGGCACCAACAGCTGCAGTGAGAAACAAGGTGGTGCAACCACTATAATCTCCACGGGCTTGTCTGTGTTGCTTCTGCCCCTCCATCCTCCCGCCAGCCCCACGTTGGACTTGCGCCTCATAAAACCAAGCTCTTCAAGCAGGAGAAAGTAGCTCATTGCTGATAGGCTATTGCTTGTCCCTGCCATTGAGAAAGACGCTTTATACAAGCTCCGAGCTCCCAGCTCCAGCTCCCCTTCTCTCTCTCTGCATCTCTCTCCTTTCTCATCACGCAATCCCTCAGTGCGTCGAGTCCGTCCTCCGCTCTCCCCCTCCGGCATATCCAGCATCGCGATCCGGATCACCGCGGCTTCGGCTAAGCTTGCCAAACGGGCCGTCTCTTTCACTCCTCCTGCACAATGGTTGTTCACGATGGCCACGAGTACCTCACCGAGGAAGAGAGGCGATTAAAAGAGGACAGAGAGCGAACCAAATACTGGAAGAAATGGGGGCCCTATGTCGCCGAGAGGCAATGGGCAACAGGTAGCCTCTGCTCTGCTAGGAAGCCCAAACCAAAACGAGATTGCAATGCTAATCTCTTGTAATAGTACGAGAGGACTACAGTGCTGATGGAGACGCGTGGAGCTGTACGTTGTCCCTATATGCATTCTTTGTGCCTTGGGAGCCAGCTCTAACCTTCCTCTTCCTTAGACTTCACGCACGACCATGCACGATCCCGAGCTTTCAGATGGGGTGAAGACGGCATTGCTGGTGTCTCAGATACACATGGATTTCAAAATATTGCCTTTGCCTTCTGGAACGAGGAAGAGTATGCCATTCCGACTCTCTGATTTTCAAGGCAGAACATGGTCCTAATTCATAAATCAGTCCCTTTCTAAAGGAGCGACTCTTTGGACTTTCCAACCCTCAAGGAAACCACGGCGAGAGTGTCAAGGAAGCCCACTTTCATGTCGATAACACTCCCGTAAGTCAACAACCATTTTCTACGCTGATGGATAATGCTAACTTACTTATCTAGACTGTACGTCTCAACTCACCACTCGAACCCCCAACTCCTCTCGATACTAACATAATACTAGCACTCTTACATGAAATTCCTTTACAAATACCCCCAAAAGCCGTTCCCTTATGATGATCTCATCAAGGAAAATGCTCGGAGAACTAGAAACGACAAAGAATACCAGCTTCTCGATACCGGAGCGTTTGACGATGATAGATACTGGGATATCTTCATTGAAACGGCCAAGGAGACTGACGATCCGGATGAGCTCCTCTTTCGTGTCACCGCCTGGAACAGAGGTCCTGACCCAGCCCCGCTCCACATCGTACCTCACGTATGGTTCCGAAACACCTGGACCTGGGGCAGAGAGCCGGATGAAAAGAAGCCATCGATTTCGGCCCATACCGAAGATTCGGCCAAATCAAAGCACTGGAAGCTTGGAGACCGATACTTTCTTCTCTCTCCGTCTCCTGGTGTTGGCAGTTCGGGAACAGATGTCATGCCTCAGCTGATGTTTACCGAAAACGACACCAATACTGAGCTCCTCTACGAACAGGCCAACGAACAGCCCTATGTCAAGGATGCCTTCCACAGGTACATTGTCGGTGGAGAAAAGGAAGCCATTAACCCTGCCCAAACAGGCACCAAATGCGCTGCTTGGTACAACTTCAACGAGGATGGCGGTGTCAACCCTGGTGAATGCGCCGGTATGTGATCCATCCTGTAGAGAGTATATTGCATTTAATCGCGGCTAACAATCAATGGCAGTTGTTCGTTTTCGATTCACAAAACGGGATGAGTCGTACCTCGATGAAGAAGAGTTTGATGATATCATTGAAAAACGTAGAGAGGAGGCAGACGAGTTCTATTACAGAATCAGCCCTCTCCCGCTATCCGATGACTTGCGCAATATCCAGAGACAAGCCTTCTCAGGTATGATGTGGACAAAGCAGCATTATTACTTTGTCTGGGACCAGTGGGCAAGGGGAGATCCCGGCACTCTTCCTCCGCCTACAGATCGTATGGGTGTCCGAAACTCACAGTGGAAGCATATGCATTGTGACGATATCCTGTCTATGCCCGACTCTTGGGAATATCCATTCTTTGCTGCCTGGGACAGCGCCTTCCACTGCATCCCCCTGGCAATGATTGACCCAGATTTTGCAAAGAAGCAGCTGGATCTCTTTACTAGGGAGTGGTACTGTCATCCCAATGGCCAACTGCCTGCGTAAGCGACCCTTTCTGCCGTCGTCTCTGAATTATATTCGTGGGGCTAACACTTCCAATAGATACGAATGGAACTTTGGTGATGTCAATCCTCCCGTCCATGCCTGGGCTACTTTCAGAACCTTCAAGATTGAAAGAAAGCTGTACGGACGCCAGGATCTCGATTTCCTTGAGCGAGTTTTCCAAAAGCTTTTGCTCAACTTCACCTGGTGGGTCAATCGCAAAGATGCCGATGGCAAGAACATCTTTGAGGGTGGTTTCTTGGGACTCGATAATATCGGTCTGTTCAACCGTTCCGAGCCACTGCCCACGGGAGGTGTCCTTGAACAGGCTGACAGTACTGGGTGGATGGCCTTTTACTGCCTCTCCATGCTCAACATTGCGCTTGAGCTTGCCAAACATCGCCGAATCTACGAGGACATTGCCTCAAAGTTCTTTGAGCACTTCATCTTCATCAGCGATGCCATGACCTTCCGCACAGGTCAGAAGGATGAGCAGTCTCTCTGGAACGAAGAGGACGGCTTTTACTATGATGCCATTTCCTGGGGTGGCCCATGGCTTCAGCAGCTACCTGTGAGGTCCTTGGTCGGCCTCATTCCTCTTTATGCCACCGCAACTCTTGAGCCCGAGCTTATTAACAAGTTGCCCTCGTTCAAGAAGAGAGTCGAGTGGTTTATTGCAAACCGTTGCGACTTGGCAGAGAGGAACATGGCCAGCATCAGGAAGAGAGGAAAGGGCGACCGTATCCTCTTGTCCATCGTCAGCAAGGAACGTTTGGAGAAGATCCTGAAAAGGATGCTGGATGAGGATGAATTCTTCAGTGACCATGGTATCCGCTCACTGTCTAAATTCCACAAGGAGAATCCCTTCTCCATGGAAGTAAAGGGCCAAGAGTTCACCGTTGGCTATGTTCCAGGAGACTCCGATACTGGCCTTTTTGGCGGCAACAGCAACTGGAGAGGACCAATTTGGCTTTGCGTCAACTTTTTGTTGATTGAGTCACTCCAGCGATTCTACCTCTTCTATGGACCTGACTTCAAGGTCGAGTGCCCCACTGGTAGCGGCATTTACATGCATTTGGGCAAGGTCTCGGAGGAGATTCAGCACCGATTACAGCATCTCTTTGCTCGAGATGACTACGGCAGGCGCAGCATCAATGCTGGTGACGATCGCCTCGACTATGACGAGCACTGGAAGGACTACCTCTGGTTCTATGAGTTCTTCGATGGCGACAGTGGAAGAGGCCTCGGTGCCAGTCACCAGACCGGATGGACCGGTCTAATTGCTCGGTTGATCCACGACACAGGGTGAGTACAGAGAGAGGGGTGACTTGTTTGTTTTTTTTTTTTTTTTTGGATGGTTAACTAATTTGAATCAAACAAAGTATCAACTGCCGTCTGCCTCAGACTCCTCGAACGCCATCTGCCACCATGGCGCACTACTTTGATGACATATTCCAGAGACAAGTGGGCAAGGTTCCCCACCCCGGTGGTGGCAGACGCCATATCAGACGTTCATCAACGGCCCGCTCCATCGGTGCCAGAAGCGACTTTGACTTTTCTGTCAACGGAACTGATGACGATGCGCGGTCTGTCGCCAACTCGGTTCACCACGACGATCCGGAGAGGGCCAAGGAGAAGGAAGAAGCGGACAACCATATGCACCGCTACATTTCTGATCAGCTCCATAGGTACACGCAAGGAGAAGAAAATGGGTACGAAGGAGATGAGTTGGAGAGTCGAGCTGAGTAGTGGCTCTCTGCTGGTGTCGTGTGACGAGGGTATTTGGATTTTGGAAATACAAAAAATTGGTGTAGCTTGATCTATATTGTATTTAGAACTACAGTACAAGGCAAGAAGGAATGTTTGGTATAAGATTTTGGAGGATACAAATTGGGTTATGCCTTGGTATATGATTCTGTTAGTTATGTTTTACTTGAATTTATATGAGAATTGAAAAGATGCGCCATATGAGTTGATTCTGAGCATTTCTTCTGACAAAGACAGATGACATCACATGAGTTTGTGTACAGAAAAGCCATTTCTTCATTTTCTAGAAAAAACATGCCTTCTATTTGCAGATGCCGTTGCCACCAATCAACAGCATCTCTTCTTCACCCTGGCTGGTAGCTATTTGCGCCCCCTCCTCCCAGATAAAATATGGACGCATACAAACCACCCGAAAAAATACCTCCGCATCACTTCTTGTCCCAAGCTCAAAAAAACCTCTATACATGTTTTGGTGGGGGGCTTCGTTGGTTAAGAAAAATTGAGCTTTTTTAACCCTTTAGTTGAGGCAAAAGAAAAGTTCAACAAAGGGGATTCTTGTTTTAATATTTTTTATACATGAATAAATTACAGGTTGTCAGTGAGGAGCTTGTTCATCTTGGCGATGCGGGCGGAGACGCTGAGGTCGATGGTTCGGTCGCCGACCTCGACAATGAGTCCACCAACAATCTCGGGGTTGACCTATAACATTGATTTGTGAGTTGGCGTTTTCAATAGAGGAGGAGAGGGGGCCAATGCCCTCTCCATGAGTAGAAGGATGTCAACGTACAGCGTTGGTGACCTTGAGCTTCTTGCCCTGGCCGACGTAGGAGGACTTGGCAACGGCAGTCTCCAGACGAGACAGAGTCTTAGGGTCAAGAGCCTATAGAGATTCGTGTTAGAATTATATTCATTCTTCTAGAGTATGCCATTGCGACACTATCGTGTCGTTAAAATGTCGAGACTTCAAATCCAAGGTAGACGCACCTGAGCGCTGGTAACAGTCATCTCAACCTCACCACGGGCAGCAGCAATGATCTGGCCAAACTTCTCAGTGACGCCCTTCAGGAGGCCCAGTCGGTTGTTCTCGGCGAGGGTGTCGAGGAAGTTCTTGAGGGTGGCGCCGCTGGCACCGGCCTGCTTGACGAGCTCGGCAACAATCGCAGACCTGTCGGCGGGGGTCAGGGTGGGAGCGGACAGGATTCTGCCCAGCTTGGCGTCCTTGTCGAGGATGCCGCCCAGCTTGGCGAGCTCTTTGGCGGTGGCATCGAGGGTGGAAGTCTTGGAGGCCGCGGTGTACTAAAATTGACGCAAGAGATTAGCCATCTGTTTCGTGGTTGGTGCCAATTCCTCCACGCCCGGAGCCGCAGCGCTCGGGAAAAGTACGCAATTGGCAGCTTTTGACATTCGTAACATCAATCAACACCATATTTCCATCGGGGAGAGGCGTACCAGAGCAGTGGCGTAGGTGCCATCGAGACCGAAGACGGCAATGGGAGCCTTGGGCTCGCTGGCGGCGGCGGCAGCAAAGGTCCGGACCGGAGCAACGCTGAGAGCGGCGGCACGCTGGGGGGCAGCGGCCCTGAGGGAGCGGAAGACTTGTCGCGACAGCATGGCGGCCGTGGAGGATTGGATGGCGTCGAAGGTGGTGAGAGACCGGCTTTCGTAGAGATCGCTTTTCGAGGTTGAGGTTCTCTGCGGCCGGCAATTTTGGATGTGGATGCCTTGCCGAGCGGGTGAGGCACCAACTTTTCTGATTACGTAACTGCGTTGATGAAATCGGCGACCCATAGATATACGGGATCCCGTAGGTACGTTTAATCTATACGGGTCCCGTACAAATTACCTAAGCAGTCCTGCTTATGCTACTATAACCTACTATAACAACCGCTATAACAACCGCTATAATAACCGCATAGGTCTAAAACTCACCGCTGCAGATGAGGATTCCAGTTAACGGACCGCTCTAGTCGACAATCTAGCAACACCTTCACTCCCTATGGTCGTTCCGGACTAGATTGCTCCCGGCGCTATAAATTATATATAAGGCGCTTTGAATCAGCCTCTTAAAAGCTTAATTTGGGCTATTTAAGCCTTGTATTTAAGCGTTGCGAATTTGCGTATCCTCTTCAAGCGCAAAGCTCAATTTGAGCTATTTGAGCTTTGCAGCTAATTATAGGGACGGCTTATCAAGCATACCCCGAGGCGCACAGAGCATACCCAAAGTGGGGCTTCTTGCCATTTACAGCTAGTTTTATTATATAAGCCTAAAGCCAACAATTTATTAAGTAGCTGTAAGTACCTATCGACAGAAGGAAAAGCGCACAAAGGATAAGCGCACAAGACCGTAAGGCGCCCAATAGATCCACGGGTCTATACAACCACACGGGACCCTTATGTAAGCAAACGCCCTCTGTAAGATTGCTATAATAGCTGCTGTTATAGCGCGGGAGCAATCTAGTCCGGAGCGACCGTAGGGAGCAAAGGTGTTGCTAGATTGTCGACCAGAGCGGTCTCTCAACTAAAATCCTCATCTGCAGCGGTGAGTTTTAGACCTGAGCGGCTGTTAAAGCGGTTGTTATAGCGGTTATTATAGCGGTGCGGGGCTGTTATAGCGGTCGTTATAGCGGTCTAGGTCATTATAGTGGTTCTTATAGCGGTCGTTATAGCGGGTGTTATAGCGGGTGTTGTTGACTAAGCAGCTATCCCGTGTGCGTGCGGCCCCGTGCGCCTATTGGGCGCCCCGTATAGATTAAACGTACGGGATCCCGTACACCTATGGGTCGCCGATGAAATCCGAGTACTACGTCCAAACAACAAATGCAGCACGAGAACCAGCTTCATCTTTTACTTCGGCAGTCTATCTGAACAAAGCCTTCTATTCAGTTAAACGTGCCCCGTTAGCACGCACTAACACCCAGCTCTTGTACTCCGCAGAAACCCTACCCTGCAGCCGCCGCATCTCAAACTCGGGCCAGATCTCTTAGATAGGTCACGGGCGCTAAGCAATACAACAACAACAACAACAACAACAACAACAACAACAACAACAACAACAACATCGGGCCGTATATCATCACCACCCTCACATCCACCAATTCGAACCATGGCTGGCAATGCACCCAATGCCGCAGCTCTGATCGAGTCCGCAAAGAAAGCTGCGGCTTTCCAAGCCGTTGAGGACCACCTCTCTCCCACTGACAAGTTCGTCGGGATTGGATCTGGCAGCACTGTCGTCTATGTGGTGGAAGCTATTGCGGCCAAGGGGCCAAGCTTTTCCGCCAACATGACGTTCATTCCCACAGGCAGCCAATCTAAGGGTCTGATTAGAGCAGCTGGATTGAGACTGTGCAACCTGGACGAGCGCCCTGTTGTGGACGGCGTGTCGGTTGCCTTGGACGTTGCCTTTGATGGTGCAGATGAGGTTGATGAGGATCTTAACCTCATCAAAGGAGGAGGTGCATGCCTCTTTCAAGAGAAGCTTGTCGCCGTAGCGGCTAAGAAGTTCATTGCAGTTGCGGGTGCGTCAATATCTTACTATCTACAATGATTTGTCCCGGGTCAACTAATATCTTGTATAGATTCTCGCAAGCAATCACCTCGGTTGTGCACCAAATGGAAAACTATCCCTATCGAGGTGCTCCCCCTTGCAGCACCGGATGTATTGAACCGTCTCAAAGCCATGGGCTCTCCTAACCCTGTTGTCCGTTCCGGCCTACCCAGCAAAGCCGGCGAGTGCGTGACTGACAATGGTATGTGGATCATCGACGCTCCTTTCCCGCCGCTGCTACTTCCCAAGGATCTGACGGCGGAGGTGGACGGCAACGGTAAGAACGGAGCTTGGGAAATCGGAAAGCTGGCCGAGGAGCTGGTAAAGCTTCCTGGAATTGTGGAGATTGGCCTCTTCCACGGATTTAATGGAGTTCAGGCTGTTGGTCTGGGTAAGGAATTCCAAGCACAGAAGCCGGTTGCAGCTTACTTTGGCACACCGAGCGGCCAGGTCCAGGTACAGAATGCAGCATAAGGGTACAACCGGGAGACTCTTGCTGGAGTTGTTGGATTTTAATATTTTTTGGTACTTATTTATCATACGGCTCGTCTAATTTAACTTCTTCTCGTGATGTATGAATTTACTCAATGAATTGTAAATCAAAGTGTCCAAGCCGCACCATCTTCCGGCCGCATACTAATTGTCCTTATGCCCTTTACCCGACTCTGCCCGATAGACCTAACACTATCGACTCAGGTCCTAATTCCCAAATCTACGATATCCTAACGCCTTGCCTTGCTCCCAATTAAGCATTACCGCAATTGTGCAGAGATTGACTAAACAGAAACACGAAAAGAAAGATGGAATGAAGCGTGAAGCAGCTCTCGATCAATCACTCTTCATCATACTATCAACGAGGTCTCCGAGAGGACCCCAGTAGTCCCGCCCGCTCGCCAAGCTATGCTCATCGATAAAAAGCACATACTGCTTGAAGCTGGTGTTGAGATGAGGTTCCAGCCCCAGCTCCCGGATTACCGGATAGTGGTGGCAGTAGATGTGCGCGTACACACGGTACATTCGCTTGAAGATCTGACGAATGAGAGTTGGGAAGGATTTCGGAAAAGGAACGCCTATGATTGTCGTCAGCAGTCATATCGAATAGCAAGTGTGATCACTCAAGACAGGCCACTTACCAATCTTGCTGGGCATGACGGATTCATTGTCGATGTTGGCTTGAACCCATGTCATCAGCTGTTCGATGTAGGCTGGTGCGGCCATCTTGGTCGGCCTCTTATAATTTTCGCTATCTTGCCAGAGATATTCAAACCTGACTTTGTTAGATTCGCTTCCAAGAGCTGTGACGCTTGTGGTGCGGATTTTATATCTTACTCATCCGTGGCCTTCATCTCAGGGCATGACTGTGGCGAGCAAAACTCGGTGATGGCACCGTAGAGAAGGTTGATCTGGTTGTAGAAATCCACCACTGGTGATGTCACGTTAGCCCTTCCATTTTTGCCTGGCAAGAATTGTGGACGGCAAACTCACTGTTGACTGCTAACCATTCGTTCTCATCCTCACCTTCGGGCAGCTTGACACACTTTCTCAAGCTGCCTCCTCCCAGGGTAGCTTCGGCATACTGCCTTAACTGATAACTGTTGACACCACCTTTTCCAGCGCGCGGGCGGAACTGATTTCTAGTCTTTTGGTTGCTGCTCAGAAATATTTCGCCATCAGCAAACACGGTATTCAACACAGGCTTGAGCGGGGGATCTTCGTAGATGGGTAATATGGTGCTGTCAGGCCGCTCCATCTTGGCGCGAGACCTGGGACTGAGATACTGAAATAGGGACAAGGGCATGTTGACGGCGGCGACGAAACTAAACGAACATACGAGTGAGGGTTGACTGACACTGTCTGCAGGAACTGAGCCATGGCGAGGCGAGGGTCGGGGTTTGGTCGTGATATTTGGCAAGCTAAGATACAATACGACGGTCTGCGTTCCATACCAACTGGTTAGCGGGGCAATGAATGGCATGTCAAGGATGGAGGAAGACAGCTCACGGAGCAAATGCTGCTGATGCAATGGAGCTGGCAGTCGGAGTAGCGCGCCCGGGGCTGGATGCCAGGCAATGCAAAGATGAAATGCTGGTAGAATGTAAAATGCTGATGTGATGCCGGGCAGCGAGTCGGAGAGTTTGGCGATGCGCTGACAGCCTGTTGCGGAAAGATATGTAGATAGACAGACTGATGTGGATAGAGAGATAGAGGGAGGCGGTGGTGTCGCATCCAGGGCGGCTCTGCTGTGTTTACAGCTTTCCTGATTGGTACTGATAATGTGGTTGCTGGGTGCACAGGGCAGTTTAGTACGTCAGAGGCTCTGTGAGGGCTCCCTTTAGCGGTTAGGAGTACTGTGTACCTTGATGGCGGGGCAATCCTTAGTGGCGATTGAGGAGGATCTGAGCGGCGACTAATGTACTAGGTACAGCTGGTAAAGGGGATGAACTGGTCATAGAGAGATGGGGGAGGTAAGAAGCTTGCATTAGGAGGACATTGACGATCATTAAGTCAACAAGCACCGTGCCAATTGTATAGTATTATATGTACCTATGTATATGGGTTCTGAAATAATTGAGATGGGTAGTATTTGCAATTGCTGATGTGCAGCTGTATTCGTTGTTGGTGACTGCCCATCAATGGAGGAACAAAAGCCAAGCGGATAATACCCGGTTTGCATGCTGTTGTTTGTGATGACCTAACCGGGAACAGATGACTTTTGTTTTATCAGATAACACGTTCAACTCCGATAAGCATATTCTCCTCTTTTACTCATGAGCCATCTATAAATTGAATGTTTGAGTTGTTGTCTATCTGCAAAAACCAACGGCTACGTCCAAAGAGCCAAATCGGTATTGAAAGGCTCTCTTGGGTATTCCCTGAAGAATATCCGGGTTACTCCGTATTCGTACATCCACTTGCAAGTATGAAAGTTACCAATGCTTCACAAAAACATCTTCACGTGGCAGTGCTGGTCCTAACAAAAATACGACTAGGCACTCATTTACTAGCTCATACAAATCCTAATTGATGTCGCAAGATATGCACCAGTCAAGGCCCCTGGACGCGGTTGTGGAGAATGGCTGCAAGACAGACCGCTCTGTCAGTGTGGGCTTGTGTCCATTGTGGACTGCCGACTGGAGAAGACGGATCGAAACAAGAAAGAAAAGCGAGACTGAAGGTTGTTAAAGACGGGCACGGGCTAATACAGATAGAGCACATGCATACAATGCAGCGGAACAGACAGACAGGCTGTTGAGACATAACTGAGCTGAGCTGGCTTACAACGGCTACTGTACCAGGATACTTCAACGGCTGCATATCACGACGCGATGCCGGGGCAACTCACCGCCCGCATCCAGACCAAACAATAAGCATCAGCCTCGATCGGTACCTGGCCAATTGACGCTGTTTTTAACCCTCAGGGCGGCTAACGACAGCGGATTGCGTGTGTTCCTGCGGCTCGACCGGGTTTCTCGTGTTCGCCGTGCAGCCAGATCGCCTGTTGCCGGGCCAACGCGCCACGCAAGCAATTTGTTTGGCTCGCCTTGCACAGCTGCAGCTGGTCCCACAGTGAGCATAGCATACCAGGACCAGCGACGCATGTCCCCATTCCCGCCTTTTAATCTTTATGCAGCTCAGCTCGGTTCGGTTTCTCAACTACATCCAACTTCTTCACGACCTCTTTGCCGGGTGTCGTGTTTTTCTTTCTTTCTAACAGAATCGAACCAGGTCGCGCACAGCTTCAACCGAGATACAGCCAATCCGCATGGTCGTGTCTCGACACCGCTCCTTGTCGCCCTTGGCTTGAAGATTGGTAGTGCAAGCTGTGGCCCGCGTCTAGCAGCATTCCAAAAGCTTAAGCCTAAAACACACGGCATTCCGCTGCATTACTTACAATGGACCGCCGTCCTCCCGGCTATAGTCTCCCGCCGTACGACGACGAGCTCGACTCGCCCACCGGCCATGGAGCCGCCGCCGTTAGATTGTTGACATCTGTGGAAGAGTCCCCAGACAGAAGCAGACCGTACGTAACACAAACGTCGCCAATGGCAACACCAACATTCCTAAATATGTCCTCTCCGTCCTCATCGACGTCGTCTTTGCAACCCAAGGACGCTTCGAAACACCAAGGATCCAACCCCGAGACGTCCACCATGGCTTTCGACGAGTGTCCAGGAGCCGCCTCGAGCTTGGAGACCAAGCAAGAGACGGAAATGCAAGCAGCAACCAAGGCGGATGCTCCTCTTCCTCCTCTTCCTCTCTCTTCTCCTTCTGTTCACAATCCCCTCCCCCCTCTTGACGTTGCTGTCCCCCCTCCCCTCTACATCAAACAGGTTCGCAAGAACAACAATGCAAAGTTGCACAGTCCAAGAAGTTTAGCGCTCAATGACTCCCCAAATCTTGCCGAGGCTCTGCCAACTATCCCGGAAGGACCAAGTGAACGCTCCCGGCGAAGAAGAGGGAGTCTATCAGCATCGGACCAACCACCAGTCCAACCAGTTCAACCACCCCCCCAACCAGCCGCGGTCGACGTTGTCGCAGCGGAACCCGTTATCAAAAAGATTAAGCCCACTGTTAGATGGAAGATCAAAAACTCACGCGATAGGCCTATTAGTATGCGATCGCCCCGGCCTCAATATACTCCCAGCGTCGCATCCACCCACACTCGGACTGGGTCAATTCTGGACGATGCTCCTAGGATTCCGCCGCCAGATGCGTCTTACATGTCCTACGACACCAGGGACCCTTCTCACAGGCCGTGGTCGCCAGCGTCCAGACTGACGGATTACTCTCGCCCTCCCGCGTCTCATGCCTCGTATGAACCCTCAGACATCAATGGCAGTCCCAGGCCAGGAACTCCGTCCTCTAGATATGGCGGCAGTCCGCGCCGGCCTCTCCCACCAGCTCCTCGCTTTGGCAACGCATCGCGCCAATCACAATTTACCGACGATATAACCGTCTCCATCCCCTTGGACCATCGCGAAGATGACGATGATGTCTTTGGCCCCGAGTCAGACCTGAGCGAATCTCGCCATTACGACAACTACGAGCACGAGCAGTATGATCACTATGACGAGGATGATAGGCACTATGGTGATGACCGCGACTCATACCACTCAGGCCAAGAGACATTGAGCGAGGAGCAGGAGTACTATGATAAATACGAGCACTATGGACCTGCGCCTGATGGAGCGCAAGAGAGGCGTGGTGTCCGCGCTCCGCAAATGGCTAAAAAGGAAGTCCCGCTCATCAACGGTGAGCTGGTCTTGGAGTGCAAGATTCCAACCATTCTCTACAGCTTTCTCCCGCGCCGAGACGAGGTCGAGTTCACTCACATGAGATACACTGCTGTGACGTGTGATCCCGATGACTTTGTCGACAGAGGCTACAAATTACGACAGAGTATTGGCCGGACGGCTCGAGAGACGGAGCTGTTCATTTGCGTCACCATGTATAACGAAGACGAGATTCTCTTTACCAGAACAATGTACGCCGTCATGAAGAACATTTCTCATTTCTGCTCTCGATCCCGATCTCGTACCTGGGGTGAAAACGGCTGGCAAAAAGTCGTCGTTTGCATCATCTCAGATGGTCGTGAGAAAATCCATCCACGCACACTCGACGCCTTGGCTGCCATGGGAGTCTACCAGCATGGCATTGCCAAAAACTTTGTCAACAACAGAGCCGTACAGGCACACGTCTACGAGTACACAACGCAAGTCTCGCTCGACTCGGACCTCAAATTCAAGGGTGCTGAAAAGGGCATTGTTCCGTGCCAAATCATCTTCTGCCTCAAAGAGAAGAACTCGCGCAAGCTCAACTCGCACCGTTGGTTCTTCAATGCATTTGGCAAGGCCTTGAACCCCAACGTTTGCATTCTGCTCGATGTGGGAACTCGTCCTGGTGGTACTTCGCTGTACCATCTCTGGAAGGCCTTTGACTTTGATTCCAACGTTGCCGGAGCTTGCGGTGAGATCAAGGCCATGAAGGGCAAATACGGATCATACCTGTTGAATCCTCTGGTTGCATCGCAAAACTTTGAATACAAGATGTCCAATATCCTGGACAAGCCCCTCGAATCTGTGTTTGGATACATCACCGTGTTGCCCGGTGCCCTCAGTGCCTACCGTTACCATGCGCTACAAAACGACGAGACTGGCCATGGACCGTTGAGCCAGTATTTCAAGGGTGAAACACTCCACGGTCAGCATGCGGATGTGTTTACAGCCAACATGTATCTGGCCGAAGATCGCATCCTTTGTTGGGAGCTCGTGGCCAAGCGAGGCGAGAGATGGGTGTTGAAATACGTCAAGGGTTGTCATGGAGAAACAGATGTTCCTGGTAAGTTATTTCTTGTGCTTCATCGCCCATCCTGGTTCTTCAAACTAACGTAACATTCCACAGACTCTGTTCCCGAGTTCATCTCCCAACGAAGAAGATGGCTGAACGGTGCCTTCTTTGCCGCCGTCTACTCCCTTGTCCAAATGCGACAAATTCTACAGACCGACCATACTCTTGCTCGCAAGGTCCTCTTGTACATTGAGTTTGTCTACCAATTTGTCCAGCTGCTCTTCACCTACTTCTCTCTCGCAAACTTCTATCTGGCTTTTTACTTCGTCGCTGGCGGTCTAGCGGATAAACGAGTTGATCCGTTTGGACACGGCATTGGAAACATCATATTCATTATCCTGAGATACACGTGTATCTTGCTTATCGCTATCCAATTCATCTTGTCTCTTGGAAATCGTCCACAAGGTGCGAGAAGACTCTATATGGGCAGTATGATTATCTACAGCATCATCATGGTTTACACGACTTTTGCCATCTTCTACATTGTCGTAAGGCAATTCACGGACAGTGACGGTGGTGTCTCGATCTCACTCGGTAACAACGTGTTTACGAATCTAATCGTCTCGTTGGCCTCGACGGTTGGTCTGTATTTTGCCATGTCGTTTTTATACCTCGATCCCTGGCACATGTTTACCTCGGCCGGCCAATATTTCCTTTTGCTGCCGAGCTATATCTGCACCCTGCAAGTTTACGCCTTTTGCAATACCCACGACGTCACTTGGGGTACAAAGGGCGACAATGTGATGAAGACGGATCTGGGTGGCGCTGTCGGCAAGGGTGAAACTGTCGAGCTTGAAATGCCCAGCGAGCAGCTTGATATTGATAGCGGATACGACGAGGCTCTGCGTAATCTTCGTGACCGCATCGAGGTTCCGGAGAAGCCCCCGAGCGAGTCTCAGCTGCAGGAAGATTACTACAAGAGCGTGCGAACGTACATGGTTGTCTCGTGGATGGTGCTCAACGCCATCCTCGCCATGGCTGTGTCCGAAGTGTACAGCGACAAGGGCATTGGCGACAACTTCTACCTTCGTTTCCTGCTCTGGAGCGTGGCGGGCTTGGCGTTGTTTCGTGCTATAGGATCAACCACGTTTGCCGTCATCAACCTCATCCACCTGATTGTTGAGGGCAGAATCCGCATGACGCTCAAGTTGCCAAGCTGGGCTGGCGGTATGGGCGAGAAGCTGAGCGAAACCATGAGCAGCGTGGGAAGCAGCATCACTAATACCCTTAGAACTTGATGCTGCTACTCCTTTTTCTTTGTTTTTTTCTTTTCCTAGACGTGTATGGATTTCCTTGCTTTGTTCTCCACGGCTAATAGGTTTATATTTCCTCCTCTGTGAAAAGAGAGGCGGGTAAGGAGGTTGTCTGTGTTGTTCCATTGGCTTACCTTTCTCCCTTCATACTTATAAGAGTGGTTACGGTCGACGTATACAAGCTGGAGAGAGTTATGATGATGGTCTGGTCTGGTTTGTCTTTCAGGGGTGAAGGGGGTTTCTAGGGATTGATGAGTTGCCTCTCTTTTGTCATGTGTTGAAGAGAGGCACAAACGTTTGTTCATGTCGATAACTCTGTATGATGTATGTCTTGTCTATAATGAGGTTTTGATGGCTACTTATTTTCATGATGATTGATTGCGGCATCACGGTACGCCTGAATGAAGCTAAGTAGGGACTTTTGCTTTCTGTCTGCAATGGAAGAAATAGATTGTGAGTGCCAGTACTGGCGAAAGTAAAGGGTCTCTTCCTAAGAGTAGGGTACTGCATTCTCTGTCTATGCCCACCGTGGCAGTGAAGCATCGTGAGAGCCGTAATTATCTTGGATTGACTGGGTTACCTGTTAGTTCTACAACTGAGGTAAGGTAGCTATTGCTATGCTGTCGTATAAGTACCTATGATTATACCAAAGACTAGAGATATATAGCTATAGTAGCAGATACTAGAAAAATGTAGTAATAGTAGCAAACGCTAGATTTAAATGTCAATAGTAGCAGAGAGTTATAGTTGGTGATTACTGTTGATGCTATTGATACTTAAGTAAGTAAATATAGCTCCTGCTCATGGAAGTTTGTAGGCAGTAACTACCTCTAATAATCGTGGTAGGAAAGCGTGAGATGACTTCCTTCTAGGAAGATCTTACATACATTCTCGCCCCTTCTATCATGATGTCCCTTACTTTTATTCCTTTCCACATCACTTTTCAGAATCTCTGCCTGCGTCTACTTCACCTTTTCACACGTGAAATGGCTACTCTTCTCCTCGCAAAACCCGACGTACATCATTAGGGCAGGAGATACCATTCAGCAAATGCAGATATCATTTGTCTCTCAGCCTCTTTGACAAATATAGATCAGAGAAGCTGACTAGATCTAGAATAGAAAACCAACGCCGCAGATTCAAGATAAACGACCAACGACACAGGTCTCACAACACCTACATGACCCATTCTATGTCACGATCAGATGCGTATTTTGCGCCGCCTCTCCACACAAAGAGTGGTCATATCCCAGGATTCCCCAAGTCACTGTTGAGCCTGTAGGTCACGGACAGTAAATACAAAATTCTCCTACTTTTGGCAAGTATTTGAATAATTCTTATGACTAGTTTCTTCGCCGTTTGAGATCCTCACCACTTTTGAAGTGCCTACGACCGGCAAGAGGCATGGCGAGGTTGTTGACTATTCCTTAACCTATGTGAGTTCTTAAGCTATAATTTGTTATCTTATAATTATATTGACTATATTATAGTGCTCCATTTGTTTATTACGGAATTGTATGCACTGGAGGCATATCTACCATAGCAGTGGCTATCCAATACTTCGCCAATTTAAAATAGAGTATTGCTATCTGGGTAGTGCTTTTTTACTATCCAGGTAGTATTCCTACCTAACTAAGCCTAATTAAGCCTAGGTTATTGTATACTAGCCTACTATATTAAAATATAATATTAAGTTATAGAAGTTAAGAATAGTATATAATAATTAAGTTATATTTTTATAATAAATAAAGCTATTATAAGATTTTATTAATTTAGTTATATAATTAAACTAACTTTTTTAATAATACTACTGCTTTTTTTAATAATTATAAAGTTACTATTATAGTTATTACTTTAGCTATAGTTATAGTCTTTTTATTATTATCCTTAAGTTTTTTTTCCTTTAGTATTTTTTATTAATTTAAATCTTTTTATAAATAATTATAAAATTTATTAATTACTTTTTTTTTAATTTTTACTATTATATAAATATAATAAATTAATAAATTAAAGTAATAAGATTTTTATAATAAAGTTAATAATAATAAAATTATTAAAATTAATAATAAGTTTATATTTATAAGCTTTTTATTATTTTATAATAAATATAATTAGCTTTATAAATTTTAAATAATATTTAAGTTTTAGATTTATCATAATAGTTTATTAAAGTTTTATAATATTAAATTAATAATTTTTATATAGAAAATTAAAAATAAACCCCTAAAGGCTTATTTAATTATTATTATAAATAAATAATTTTAATAATTAATAATTTATTAATTGAATATTAGAAGTTAGGTTAATAAAAGAAAATAAAGAAAAATAAGAGATAATTATAAGTAATTATATAATAAATATATAAACTTAAGGTAATAAAATAATTATATTTATTTTTACTTTTTTTAATTTTTTTTTTAAATTTTAAGTTTTTTATAATATTATTATTAAACTAAAGGCTTTATAACTTTTAATTTATATCTTTATAATATAATTAATATATAATTATATTTTTTTTAAATAAACTTTAATATATTTTTTTTTTTTTAAAATATTACGTTAATATTTTTAATAATATTTTTTTTTATTTTTATAATTAATTTTTTTTAAAAGTATTAATTATATAAAAACCTTAATATAATTTAAGTTTTATATTTATTTTATTTTTATTATAAATATATTATTATAGTAATTAATAGGGATATATAATATTTTTACTATAGATATATAACCTTATAAATATATAACTTTTCTCCCTTTATAATTAATTAAAAAAAAATATCTTTATAAGTACTTTTTAATATAGGTAGTAAGGCTAGCTACTTTAATATTAACTTTTATACTTAAGTATAAAGCCTTAGAAATTATATATTATAATAGTTTATAATTATTAAAGCCTATTTAAAGAGGGCGCAGTTACGCAACGGCCGCGCACCGGCCACGTTATAGAGGCATAAGCTAAGGGTTACAAAGCCCTTAGCTTAGTAATAATACTATAAAAAACCTAAAATTTAAAAAAGAAATTAAAAAAGGTAAAAATAAATATAATTATTTTACTACCTTAAGTTTATATATTTACTATATAGTTTCCATAATTATCCTTTATCCTTTTTTACTTTTTTTTATTAATTTAGCTTTTAATAAGTTTATTTCTTTACTTATAAAAAGTAAAGGAATTATTAAAAATAAAAATAATTATTAATAAAACTTATTTATATAAATTATAATTTAATAATTATAAAGCTGTAATTTTATAAACTTAATTATATATATAATTATAAACCTCTTTATAAGTAATTTTATAAATAAGTACTATAACTCTTTTTTAATAAAAAACCCTTAAGCTAAGTTAGCTTAAATCTTTTTTATTAAAGAAACTATAAAAATATATTATAGCTATAGTTAAAATATAAAAAAAAAAAAAAAAAAATTTAATACTTATAAGTAATTAAAAATAAAAAAACTTTATTTTTAATATTAGCTTTTTAAGTAAAAACCCTAAAGTAAAATTAAAATAAACCTACTTTAACTTATAAAAAAAAATCTAAATACTAACCCTTAAGTTTAAGGAATAAAATTAAATAAAGCTATAAATATACCTTATATATTTAAGTAACTAATTTAATTTTAAAAAAAACTAATTTAAAAAGAATATATATAAAATTTAATATATTAATAATTATTTTATAAAAAATATAAAGTATTAATAAACTTTATTTTAAATTAAAGAATATTAATATTTTTATATTAACTTTATATATAAATAGTATATAAAGTAATATAAAAATAATATTAATAATAAAATTACTTATATTTTTAATATAATTATATAATTAAACTACCTTTATTAATAAAAAGGTAAGTTATTTTAGGTTTTTATAAAAAAGTTTAAAATAATTTTTAATAAAATTTTAAAATAACTTTTTAATATTTTTTAAATTCTATAGCTAATTAATAAATACCTTTACTATATATAAAAAGAAATTATTAATTTTAAATTTTTTATAATATAATAAAAACTTTATAATATTAGGATTAAGGTAAAAGTAATAAACTAAAATAATTAAAATAAATTTTTAAATAATTAAAGTACTTAAGTATTAAAAAAATAATATAATTTATTTAAAATATAAAATACTTATTAGTAAAAAATATTTATAATTAACCTTAAATTTATTTATAATAATACTTTAATAAAATTAAATAAAAATAATAATAGCTTTATAATAAAATTAATTTATTAAAAATATAATAAAGCTTATTTTAGGAATACTTATATTATACTTAATTATATAAAGTATAAAAATTAATAATATATAATAAAGTATTATAATAATTTTATAAATAAAAAAAGATTTACTAAAGTAAACTTTATTTTAATTATAAAAAAAATATAAAAATATAATAAAAGTACTTTTACTTTATTAATATTTATTATTATAGTTAAAAAGTAAAACTTTATTTTTAAATAATAAACTAAAATAAAAATTAAAAATAAATAAGTAAAAGTAACCTTTATTTTAAATAAAAGTAGTAATATTAATATAATATATTAGTAATTTATATAACTAAAGAATATTCTACTATATAAAATAAACTTTACTTTATTTATAAAAAACTATAAAAGTAATATTTATAAAAAAATAATAAAATTATATAAAATAATAAATAATTAAAAAGTAATAAAAAGGTTTTAGGTTTTTTTTTTTATTATAGTAGACTTAAATTTAAGTATATTACTAAGGAAATTATAATATAAATTATTAAATATTTTTTTAAATTTTAAAAATAAAATATAGTATTATTATATTTTTATTAAAAACTTTAAAGTTATAACTTTAAAAAAATAAGTTTATAAATAAAATAAAAAAACTAAAGTATAAATAGTTTTAATATAAAGTAAATTAATAAAAAGTAAAAACTTAAAAATAAAATATACTTAATACTTACTTTACTTATATAAAAAGTATAAATAAGTATTAAAA